CACAAACTGTCAAATATCAGCATCCATCCACCATCCATCCATCCCACCTTCAGTTGATTCAGAGATGTTTCAAGACTATAGAGAGCATAGTGACAAAGAGCCCAGCGCTCGCTCTACCATGTCAGTATCTGACTCTGGGTAAGTCTTCTAGTTTTTATCAATCAGCTATTTTTTTTTAAATTATTATTTTAAAAAAGATTTATTTTATTTATTTATGCATACGAGAGCTGGGGTGTAGCCCAGAGATGTGGAGCGTGAGAGGATTCACCAGAGACCGAAGAGGGAGCAGAACAGGCAGTCAACCAGCTATTCTCTTGAGACCTAGGGTGCTGACCCTAGTTCAGACCCTTACTAGGCTTGAGCCTTCCAGGCAAAGCCGCTGACGGAAGGAGCTTCCGCTATCAGGCCCGCTCCACCCCCGATGTTCGCCTTGCCTTCCTATTGGCTTCTCTTCGCCCTAGCCCCGCCTCAAGGCAAAAGCCACGTGACCCTGTAGCGGCCGCGGGATTGGTTGTTCTGCGAGAGCCGCACAGGGCTATGGGACACCGAGGGGCCGGGGTGGTGGCGTCCGGGTCCGTGCGCGCGGGGCTTGCGGGGAATCGCGAGGCCTTGCGGGCGCTGCCGTCAGCCTCCGTCGGCCGGGCTGGCCTCCTGGGAGTCCAGGGCGTGGAGATTTAGGAGCCCGGAAGGCGGGCTGCGGACTTCTCCCAGGGTCTTTGGTTTGAAACCTGACTCCGGCCTTACTTATGTTTTTCCAGCAAACACGAAAAACTGACTTATTTCAGTTTTCCCTGAGGTTGGTGGGGCTTGGGCCTCATTATTATGATTTTTAAGCGTCCACTATTTGTAAGCGCTGGTTCTCCTGCGCTGGGCGCCACGAGGTAGAAGCTGGGGGAAGGAGGGCTCAGTGATGCTTGAGGTATGGTCATTCCTCGCTTTCAAGGTAAGTCTGTTTATGAATTGTGCTTTTATGATGTAGGCGCTTCGGGCTTTCTAGGGAGGGTCACTCATGCACCAGGCACCGTCCTCAGTGCAGCGGATGCAGTAAGAGACGCCTGGCTCTTTAGGAACTCAGCGTGATGGGGCTGGTTAGGAGTAAGCAGTTCTCCTCCAGATTGAAAGAAGCGGTCGAAGGCACTTCCAGGGGAGCTAAGTTAACTGAGTACAAGAGTTAGGAGAGTGCTGGAGCGCCTGAGGGTGGGAGGAGGGGTTTACCCAGGGGCTGAGGATGAAGCTGATAGGTAGGAAGGAGTTAAGATTTTTAAGGACCTTGGATTCCAGGGGAAGAAGGCTTTTCTAGATGGAGGGCACAAAAATCTAATAGCCGGTTGAGGACTAAGTAATAGTCTGAGGGCCTCCCCGGTGGCGCAGCGGTTGAGTGCTGGGTTGCGAAGCTGCCCGCGGCCTCTGTGGCGCCGGTTCGATCCCCAGCTGCTCCCCGGCCACCGGAGGAGGGTCCCACATGGCGCGCAGACCTCTCCTGCCACCCGCTGCTCCCCTCAGCAGTGTACTTCTGTCCTTCTGCCTGCTCTGCTCCCCGCTCTGGCTCTGGTGAATTCTCTCACCCTCCCGCGCTTCTGACAGTACCCAGTGCATGTATAAACAAAATAAATAAATAAATAAAACATGCCTCTATAAAAAAAAAGTAAGATATGTCTGAGTAAGTAAGATCTGTTAGGGTTATAGTGTTAATGATAAAGATGAGTCACTTTTGAAACATCTTGAATGCTAAGTGAGCCATTCCTGGACCATGGGAAGAAATTTTGAATCACTCCTACATTTTTTTTAAAAGATTTATTTAATTATGCACACAAGAATTGGGGTACAGGCCAGAGGTGTGGGGGGTGAGAGGATTCACCAGAGACAGAGTGGGGAGAACAGGAAGAATGACTGACATACACTGCCAAAAGGGGGGATTGTAACAGGGTGGTCCCCAGGAAAGGGGGAGGTTCCCTGCCCCACCCAAGGAAGGGTGGAGCTGAGCAGGAAGAGGAGAAGCTGCAGAAGAGACTGAGGAAGGAAGGAAGCAGGATGGAGCCAGGAGACCTGGAGGAGGCGCATGGAGCCTAGAGACACGTGAAGAAACTGCGCTTGTCTTTGGGTTGTGGACTGGGTGACACAGACGTGGGTGAGACCCGTGGGGAGGTGACAATGGCAGCTTTTATCTTGATGTTGATTTTGCTCTTTTCCTTTCGGGCTTGTCTGGTTGTTTGTGACCCTTTTCTGTGGGTCCCCACTGGAAGATGTTTTAGACTTGTGGTAGACTTTGGGGCCTTGTTCTGGGCCGATCCCATATGGATGGACTTTTACCCACGAGGGGATGGGTAACTTTGGGTGCTTCATTTAGAAACTAGACTCTTTGCCTCACCTGTATTGTTTCCTAGTTTAATTAAAGTTCCTTCCCATTAAAGTCTCCTATGTTTTGTGTTGATGCGGCGGATGGCAGAACCCATGTAGAATAGGCAGGTTTGCGGGGTTTGGGCTGCCCCTCTCCCTGTCCTATAACAGATTTGAGGGGAGCAGCGGGCCAGTTAGGAGAGGTCTGCTGCACCTTGTGGGTAGCTTCCTGGTGGGGGATTGAACTCATGCTTCAGTGGCTGCAGATAGCTTCATAGGTTGTGTCTTAACCCCTTGAGCCACCAGGGAGGCCCTCCTACATGTTTTAATGCTAATAGGTGTGACATTCAGAATATGTTGATTGGGAGAGAAACTGGAACAAGAGATCCATTGAGACAGCAATAGAATCTGCTTGGAAAAAACAGACTTTAAAGTCAGGTACTCTTTGGTTCAGAACTTGGCTCTATTTACCACTTTCCTGATTTTTGACAAAGCTGTTTAAGTTCTGAGCCTGTTTTCCTCATTTGTAACGTGTACCTATTTCACATGTGGAGGATGATGAGGTTAAAGGATAGCCACTGTAAAACAGGCACTGTGTAAGTTTTCCTTTATGGAGGTAAGTTGCTGAATGGCCAATACAAATCAATAGCTGTCAGTTTTTTTTAACTTGGTGTATCACTCTATCAACATTTAGAGATAGCTGAAGCAAGCATGTAGTGTGTCCAGTTGTTTAGATATTATCAATATCATGGTGAAAGGCTGGAGAGGCTGTGGTGATCCTAGTACTTTTCCATGTCAGCTATAGCATACCACCAGAGGGTGTCATTAGACTACAAGAAAGGCAGTCAGCTTTCTCAGTCAGGTGTTAATTACCCCATTGTTTCCTTTATTTACTCTTGACCTGGAAAAAAAGTGAATTTAACTTTGTATTTAGCTTGTTGTGCAAACACAAATCTGGTAATCAGACCTCAGTTCTCTTTCCACCTCTACTGTTCATTTGCTATGGACCTCTGGCAAATCAAGACCAAGACCTCTTTAGGTCTTGGATTCTTAACATAGAAGATTCTGCAGTAATTCTATGAGTATATTTTCTATCTTTGTTGGCAGAATTGTAAATAAAATTGTATATTAAATGAACTGGAGTTTGTTTTGTAAAGGAATTTTAAAGTCTTTTCTAAAGCTTTTACTTTAGAACTAGATTACAAATCCCTCCATAGACGTCCTTGAGATATTATGTGTTTGGGCTCATTAACAAAAACAAATGTTTTTTGAGCTATAAATGCTCCTCCAGTTTCCCCTGTGCTTCAAAAACAAAAAAAATGTCCCCCTAAAACTTGTGCCAAGTTTGCATTTTGCACAGCAGTGTTGCTTACACAAGCCATGGTGAAAGAGAAAATGTTTATTGAAAACCATGATGGAAACTTACTAAAAAGAAACGTTAATTTTTTTCATAGATAAACCATAGTTTTTTTGGATGGGGAAATGGATGTTGGGCTGCTCTTAGATAATACAAGGAGGTGAAATGCAATGATGCGATGATGAGTGAAGTATAGTCTGACCTGGTATTGCCATTGCTTCAGTGTTGGCTTTGACCAGGGTATGATCCCTTAATCTTCTCTCTGAGCTGATTCTGTTTGTGTTTTTCCACATTGGTATGTTCTAATTTAATGGATACTGGCTCTTATGTATGAGTGCTTTGTTGATATTCTTTTGAATTACTGATATTTTTATATTCTCCTTCTTAGGTTGAGGTGAAAAAACTGGTTTTGACCTCTTCGTGAAGACACCATCATTTCAATCCTGAATCTCACTCAATTCCCTTATTGACTTATTACAGTAAAAGTGTTTGTTTAATTGACTGTATTTGTTTTGGTAAGCCTTGAGATTTAATGAGAATTACTGCTAGTATCCATAGTACTCTTATGATACATAAATGTATTAATTTTAAAATCCATAGGCTAATCCATTTCAAAATTTAGTTTTATTACATTTGTGTTATCAGAGAATGTGCTTTGAATTACTAAAATGAGTTAAAATATTAGAAAACACCTATCTCAGCAGAAATACTTACAATATTTTCATACTTCGTCTTCTAGTAATGATTTTTTTTAACCCCATATGTTCTCACCAACCTGCCAATTCAATGGAATGAATTTTACCATGTAGGCAACTTAGGTGTTTCTGTTGTATTTCTAATACTAGGTATTTCACACAGGCTAAATTTTTGCTGATGGAATAGATGATTTTTTACCCCAAGTATTGGATTAACAAAAACCTCAAAAAAGTCAAGGGCCTCTCTGGTGGCGCAGTGGTTGAGTGCTGGGTTGCAAAGCTGCCGGCGGCCTCTGCAGTGCCGGTTTGATCCCTGGCTGCCAGACGAGAGTCCCACATGGCACGCAGACCTCTCCTGCCGCCCGCTGCTCCCCTCAGCAGTGTGGTGTTGCTGAACATTAACTTCATTAACTTCATCAAGTCTGCCTGTTCTGTTCCCCGCTCTGGCTCTGGTGAATTCTCTCACCCTCCCATGCTTCTGACTGTACCCAGTGCTTGTATAAATAAATAAATAAATCTTTAAAAAAAAAAAAAACACCTCAAAAAAGTCAAAAGGTAGCCTGAATGAAGAAAATGTGAACACCTCAAGTAATCTTTTAAGTTCATATATAAACATTACCACATGGAACAGTTCATTGCCAAAAACATTTATTCTTAAAATTTACTTAAGCGTTTCATAGAAACTTTAGTAGTAGTCGGAATAACTCATGCCAGTCTAGCAAACTTCAAAAGCAAGCAGATTGAGCTTATTAAAAGATTCTTTGCACATTCATAGTTAGATAGATATTTTACTTCATCTCTTCATTGCTTACTAGCTTTGCTTTCACACTGAAATCTTCATACTACTCTATAAACACTCAACCTCTATTTTTCTTCAGCCAGTTTCCCAAGAAAGCTATGCATAGTTCATAGAAGAATCTTTAAAGTTGATCACTTACAGCAAATGTTAGCTAACAAAATGGGTCATGGTATATGGGAGGAGCTGTTTTTCTGAGGTGTTGCTGAACATTAAACAGTAGATCCATGTTTCACATTATTTGCATACTGAGAAAAATCTTTACCTCATAGGCAGCTACTTTCTAAAGAAAAGGCCTAATTCCCCTTTACCTTCTACTTGTGAGGTCTAACTTGCGGTTTTTTTTTTTTCCTGAGAGCTTCTAAACCTCTTGTTCTTTTAAGGAAAGGAATAGGTAATATTTCTATACTGATTATCCTCCTTATCCACTTTCTCTACACTAATCCTTATGTCCCCAGTAATCCTGGGGTCTAAGGAGCAGGCCAAAAGGTGAGGATCATTAGGTATTTCCTTATAAAGAAATACATATGGCTGTTTCAAGGTCATATAATTACAAATCAAGGCTGAGAAGTTCTGAAATGATGCTATGTATCATGCTGAAAACCAGCCCTGTGGCCTCATACTGCAATAATTTTGTTGTGAGATACAATGCTAATCCTTCAGTTTTCAGGGGAGTACAGCTTAATTAGATGTTGTACTTCTGTTGGATAACCTGTGATGGGACAAGCTTGGTGACTCCTCACATAATTAAACACACAACGGTAACAAAACACATAGCCAGAGGTAGCAAGAACAGTATCATTCACCCGGGTTTTGCGACACAGCGGGCACACAGTCTTCAGTTTGGGTAACAGGGGAGAATCAGAATTGTAGTCTAGGTGTACAGGTGGTGGTGGAATAGGCAGGGCAGTCAATGATTTGATGGTTTCTTGATTTTCAGATGAGTACCACCACTCAAGGAACTGCAAGAAGAACACTCCCACAGAAAGGCCAGTAGAGAGGGATAAGGCAACACCCCCCAAGGCTTTCTTCAGAGCTGACTTTATCTTCTCACTAACACTTGGGAGAAATAAAACAAGGAGGCAAAAGGAGAAACTTTATTTAGAATGACTATAAACGCTATTCTTACACTTCATCAAAATCACTGATTCAGTTTGGGGACTGAATAGTTGCTAGATGATAATAAAGAGCTATTCTAAATGATTCTGACGTCAGTATTTTAGGCGTATAGGAGTTAGTTATACTGTTTTCAATGAGTAGGGTTTGTGTGTTTTGAGAAAGATTAGTGAAGCTTTGATTATATAGGCTTTCTCTGGGTGTAAGACAGTATATCACTTAAAAAATAAATATGTATTTTAACTTAGAGGAGAACACAAACTAATTAGAAGTGGTATCACACTAGTTAAAAATTAAGAGCAAAGTCTTTAGAATCGTATTGGTCTGCTTTGAATCTCAGCTCTATCACCTTCTAGTTGTGTGGCCCTGGCAAAGTGCTTAGCTCTTGGGGCTTAGTTTATTCAACAGTTAAATTAGGCTAATACAGTTATTTCACTGGGGTGTTTTGAAAATTAAGATAATGTACATTATATAAATTCCTAGCACAAAGCCTTGCATGTACACGTTCACAAAAACGTAGGCAGTTTTATGAGGAAGGTTACCAGGATGGCAATCCTTGTTTACAGATACAAAAATTTTTCTGATTTTATGAAATATTTCACAGTGGACTGAGGGAGGTAAATGTCAAAACTTAGGGTAATACTTTACAACTTATTTATAAAGATTTGGAGGAAACATTAAGGCCTTACCTCTTGGCTGGTTGCTGTGTCATGCTGGGTTCAGTTGATTTGTGGGCCAGAGCTTGTATATCTTGAACTGTAAGTCGACTTAGCTGAACTCCAGCCAGACTCAGCAGTGGTGAGTGGTGCTTGGCCTTTCCTAAGATATATCGAAGTTGTTGTACAAGAAACCAGCCTTCCCAGGCCATGTTAACAAATGGATAGGCTGCCAAGAAGGCTCTATAAAACTTTTTCCAGCGGGAAGAAGGGGGATGGATTGAGTATTCATCCTCTTCTCTCAGACTAGAAACCAGCTTCTCCAGCTTCACTTTCAGGTAGGGAAGAAGAACCAGAAATATAATTGACTTCCAAAACTGCTTCTTCGGGAGACCGGCACTGGCCAGTCTCTGAGGCCTGTGTGTGTCCCCCATTACAATCCGCTTCAAGCCATAAAAGTTTTCAGAAAACGAGGCACTGGTTTTAGACAGGTAATGCTGCTGTAGCAGAAGATCCAGGAGGGTAAAGATTTCATCAAACCATCTCCAAAAGAAGCCATAGTGGGCAGGATTTGATTCTGCAAGAACCTAAAACAAAAACAAATGGGTAAATGATACTCATTTCATTATACCACTGTTTTGTACTTACATCTTTTCCCCTTAAAATTCTACACTTTGGGGCCTCCCTGGTGGCACAGGGGGTTAAGCACCACACTATGAAGCAATCCTCGGCCTCTGCAGCACTAGTTTGATCCTGGGGCTGGCCAGGGAGAAACCCACATGGCGCAGCAGACCTCTCCTGTCTTAGCCACTGCTCCCCTCAGCAGTGTACTTCAGTCAATCTACCTGTTCTGTTCCCCGGCTCAGTCTCTGGTGAATCCTCTCACCCTCCCGCACCTCTGGCCTGTACCCCATCTCTTGTATGCATAAATAATCTTTAAAAAAAGGAAAAAAAATTCCCCTTTGGTCTGAAAAATCTCTTTTGGGATTTAACGACTCCGAAGTTCTAGCTATTCAGTACAGACCTCTACATATAACCAATACTCAACAGATGATGAATTATATGCTAATTGGTCATTTCAAAACCCAGACTACCAAACAAACTCAAGTTATTGGTTTGGCTTTTACCCAGGTAGCCCTAAAACCTTTGAGAAAATAAGTACCTTACCTTGACCACATGCTGAAGAGCAGGTCTCACTGCTGTCATTAAACCTTCCTGCGCTACCACCTCAAAGATGGATGGCTGGTCATCCAACACAGAAGCGGTTGTGAGGTGAGCCCCATGCTCAGCCATCGTTTCCTGTGTGCACTGGCCTTCACCTTGCCCACAAACTCTCTAGTGAGCATGAACTTTTTTTGGATATCAAATGGCTGCTCAGTCTTAAAGGTAATCTTTCTGCAAGACACCCGACACTTCACGGGAACTAGGAAAGCGGGACCTCTTCCGGACACAGAGGGGAGGGTCCCAGATGAAGGAAGTTCAGAAGGAAGTCAAGGCAGACGTGAGTGGAAGTGGTGCGTGGGGCGGGGGTGACTTGTCAAATGCTGCACCACACAGAAGGAGCGTGTCTATGGACGGCAGGTACGGGCAAAGGAGAGCCGTTCCCCGGAGCTGCAGTCCTGGAGTGTGGAAGTAGCGGCTCTCGCGACGGCTCCACCCAGCCGGCCAGCGGGGCCAGCGCGGCCCGGGACGCCAGCACAGGCGCCTGCTGTCCAGTGCCCCCGCCCCCGCCCGTCCTCGCGCGCCGGCCCCGGGGAGGCGTGCGCGGGCCCCGGCGCCACGCGTGAAGGGCGGTCTCCGCCTAATGACAGAAGTATTTATAAAGGTCCCGGCTCCCGGAGCGAAGCACCCGGAAACACAAGGGGCCGGGGCCGCGGAAACAACCTGCACGCGACGGGCGCGCTCCTCCCCAGCGAGGGCCCGGAGACCGGAACTAGGCGGCTCCACGCCGCCCGCCGCTTCCGCCTCCGCCCGCGCCTTAGAGCGCGGCTAGCGGGCTGGGTTTGTGTACGAGTTTTCTATCCGTTTGTCGCACTTTCTTTTCTTCTTCTTTTTTTTTTTTAATTAAGATTTATTTTTTAAATTTATTTATACATGCACTGGGTACAGTCAGAAGCGCGGGAGGGTGAGAGAATCCACCAGAGCCAGAGCGGGGAGCAGAGCAGGCAGAAGGACCGAAGTACACTGCTGAGGGAAGCAGCGGGCGGCAGGAGAGGTCTGCGCGCCATGTGGGACCCTCCTCCGGTGTTCGGGGAGCAGCTGGGGATCGAACCGGCGCTGCAGAGGCTGCGGGCAGTTTCGCAACCCAGCGCTTAACCGCTGTCGCACTTTCTTAAGTGATTTTCGCAGCCTTGGTGGAAAGCCACAGCTATGGCCTTTCTCCGAAGAGGTCATTTTATTTTTTTTTCTAAGATTTATTTATTTATGCATACAAGAGCTGGGGTACAGGCCAGAGGTGTGTGTGGGGGGGTGGGTGAGAGGATTCACCAGAGACAGAGTGGGGAACAGAACAGGCAGATTGACTGAAATACACTGCAGAGGGGGGCAGCAGGCGAGTGGAGAGGTCTGCTGCACCATGTGGGTAGCTCCCTGGCCTGCCGGAAATCAAACTCGTGCTGCAGAGGCTGCAGACAGCTTCATAGGCTGCGTCGTTATCCCTTGCGCCACCAGGGAGGCCCACAAAGAGGTCATTTTAGCAGCGTGTTGGGGGCGCTGCCAGGACGTTTGGCATCCATTGTCTGAGCTGCGGCCCCGAAACAGCTTTCCCCCAAGCAATTGGGAGTGACAAAAAGCCATCTGCGTTTGGGGACGTTCTGTCTGTGCTGAGTGGTTGTCAACCGGTTTCCAGAAAGTATTTAGAGAGAGGTAGTTGGAGATTGAAGCCTTAGCTTTGTTGCCACCAATTATAAAGAAAGATACGAATGAGAAAGTTTCCTACTGTTCCTCGAAATGTAGGATGATTTCTTATAGTTCAGGCTTTGGGTTTTACTGTCGCAAGCATTACTCTAGGTGAAAATGGTTCCTGCTCTTACTGAAGGATGTGTCACATTAGCGATAGGAATGCGGTAATAATAGGGAGTGAATTGAATTCGAATTAGCAGAGCTGGAGAGACTTTTCATTATTTGTATACCAGAATTAATGTAATTTAAGGCAAAATTGAGAGCAAGGCACAAAGATTCCCGCATATATGTTGGTCCCACACATACATAGCCTCCCCCTCACCCACCAGAGTGGTGCATTTGTTGCAACTGATGACCCTACATTGACACATCACAATAACCCAAAGGCCATAGTTTACATTATGATTTACTCTTGGTGTTGTGTATCCTAGAATTTGGATAAATGTATAATGGCATGCATCTATCTTTATAGAGTCATATAATATTTCCACTACCCTAAAAATTATCTATGCTCTTTTTATTATTCCTCCAACCCCTGGTAACCACTGATCTTTTTACTTATTGTTTTGCCTTTTCCAGAATGTCTTATAGTTGGAATCAGGCAGTATGTAACCTTTTAAGATTGGTTGCTTTAACTTAGTGATGTGCAATTAAGTTTCTTCCATGTCTTTTATGACTCAATAGCTCATTTATTCTTAGTGCTGAGTAATATACTATTGTCTGGATGTAGCACAGTTTGGTAAAGGATATCTTAGTTGCTTCCAAGTTTTGGCAATTATTAATGAAGCTGCTATAAACATTCTTGGGTAGATTTTTGTGTGGATGTAAGTTTTCAGCTCCTGTGGGTAAATACCAAGGAGTTTACTTGCTTGCTGGGTCATATCGTAAGAGTACATCTAGTTTTGTAAGAAACTGCAAAACCATTTAAAATTCCCAGTAGCAATGAATTTTTTTCACAACATCATTGCTAACATTTGTCAGTGTTCTTAACCTTGGCCATTCTAATAGGTGCCTAGTGGTATCTCATTGATAGTGGAGTCAGAAAGGAGATAGAAGTACTTGGGAGGTATATATATACACAGAAGTTTTAATAAGGGGGAGATTGGGCAACAGTTTCACCCAAAAGTGGAGGAGTAAGAGGTCTGAAAAATTCTTGGATTAAGTGTATTTTGGCATTCATTTTCCCTAAAATGTATACATTTCATAGAGAATGACTTGGAAGCTAATAACTATTTGTAATCTGCCCAGAGAGAGTTTCAGTAATCAGTATATATTCTGGCTTGATTGGATTTATACTTATGTATTTTGGTAGGTTTTTTTTTCTTACCATCTCAAAGCATTTTTACATGTCCATTATATGTATTCAGAAAATGTGATTTAGGGCCTCCCTGGTGGCACAGCGGGTTGAGTGCAGCGCTGTGAAGCTGTCCACAGCCTCTGCAGCGCGGGTTCGATTCCTGGCTGGCCAGGGAGATTCCCACAGGGCGTGGCAGACCTCTCCTGTCTTGCCCACTGCTCCTCTCAGCAGTGCTTTTGGTTTGTTTGCCTGTTCTGCTCCCTGCTCTGTCTCTGGTGAATCTTTTCACCCTCCCGGGCCTCTGGCCTGTACCCCAGCTATTGTATAAATAAATAAATCTTAAAAAAAAAAATAAAGGAAACTATTTAAAAAAATGTGATTTAAAAAACTTTCTGCAGGGGCCTCCCTAGGGGTGCAGCAGGTTGAGCACAGAGGCTGTCTGCAGCCTCTGCAGCGCTGGTTCAATTCCCTGCCGGCCAGGAAGATACCCAGATGGCACGGCAGACCTCTCCTGCCTCCCCCACTGCTCCCCTCAGCAGCGTGTTTCAGTCCGCCTGCCCATTCTGTATCCCACTCTGTCTCTGGTGAATCCTCTACCCTTCCACGCCTCTGGCCTGTACCCCACTTCTTGTATAAAAATAAATAAAACTTAAAAAAAATAAAATTAAAAAATTAAAAACTTTCTGCAATAAAATGAATATATGCTCAATATAGAACATTGAAAAGTACAGAAAAATATTAGGAAGAAAATTATAAACTCTCGTCATCCAGCAATAACCACTCATTCTATTGAAATCTAGCCTTTAACATAATTATCTTTCTATGTGATATATACTTTATCTTTTTTCACTTAACATTTTATCGTAATTTTTCTGTCAAAATATTCTACATTATACAACTTTGATTTACCGTAAATGTTTATATTGTCTTGTTTTACACCTATGTTTTCAATTTTCTTATTTAATAAGGGAAATACTAATACATGAATAATATATGACTATTTTACAGATTTCTGATTACTTTCTTAATAAAATTTTAAATACATAACTTTCAACTCACAGAGTTAGTTGATCGGCAAATATATATATATATATATCTATCTATGAGAAGGGAAAAAAAATCCCTTCGTGGACTCTCCACCGCCTCATCTTCTTTCCTCACCTACAATAGGGACAGCTAGTTTCATTTACCTCTATCAATCTTGTTCAGTTCCAGATCCTAGAATCTGTCTTGGTTTCCGAAAGGAATGTACTTTTGCATAAGCACACCTGTTACATATTAGGCGCTTGCCTACTTTACCCCTTTTAAACTTCACAAGCCACAGAGAGAGATACCACTGACTTCATTTCACAGTAAGAAGACAAAGTTGAGAAGACAATTAAGTACTTTCGCCGTCACGTTCAGGGCACGGGCTGGAATTCAGGTGTGACACCGTCTCAACCTCTTTCTTGAGCACTCTCCTTTGATCCTACTCCCCGTGTGTAGTCTAAGGCTAGATGTCCATTGTTCCCTGAAACAGGGAAATCAGCTGTTGTGTTTATTTTAAAAAAAGGAACAGGGTATTTCATCCTCTGCATTCGTTAGAGGACTCTTGTGCGAGGAAACAATGTCAGCTTGTTTAACATATATTAAACTGACCAGTCTTTAAGGTTCAGTTCGCAGGTCTCCTCCCCCAAGCAAAAACAGACCAGCGAAAACAGCAAACGCCTTTCCGTCTCCCAGGCAACAGATCTCCCCCCGCCTTACTCCTCCTCTCGCGCTCGGGGATGACGTCGCACGGCGAGGTACTCTGACATCAGGCTTCCTGTTCACCATCTTTGTCCCTGGCAAAGTCGGTTTTGCGCAGTGGCTTAGATCTGGAGGAGTCGTGACGTGCAGGAAACCATTACAACACACTCGGGCCGTGCTCTCTGCCTGCCGCCGCCACCCCCGCCCTAGCCTCCGGTGAGTTCACGGCGGCTAACTTTGGGGTGTGTCCCTCATGAATGGGGGTGGGGGGAGAACCCCAGCTTGAGTCGGACACGGGTGGAGGAAAGGAAATCTTAGAAGCGTGACCGTTGGGGATGAAGGGAGCCGTCGGGTGTGACCGTTGTGAGGCGAGGGTTGGAGAAAGGACTCCACGCAGGCTGTGGCGGGCCGAGGGAACCCTCGGGGGCGGCAGCTGTGGGAGTTGGAGGGCCTGGGCAGTGGGGGAGTGAGATGCCCGCCGTCGCGGGGTAGGAAGGCCGGCGGCCAGGGGTGTGGCCGGTGGAGGCTGGAGGCGGACAGGAGAACCCTCTTCCTCTCGGCGGCGTCTGCTGGGAGACTGGGTAGTGTCCAGCTAGCAAGAGGGAAAAGGGAGTCCCTCAAAGATTTGGCCATAGGGGCAAACCTCGCCCGCCTCCCGTAATTTGAGGTTAAGAGACACCTCTCCCCCGCCTTGTGATGGAGGAACAGAGGTCCCTGCAATCATGAACACCTGACGGGGCGGGGGGAGGTGGGGGGGAAGGAATTCCTGACACTCGGGAAGTAGAGAGAAACCAGAATTGACCCGATGGGAGAGGTGGAAGCGAAGGGGAAGGGGAGGGGAGTGATCAATCTTAGCCAGGAATTTTTTCTTTCCGGGTTTAGCAGGAATGATCTGGTATGAGAAAGGCTGTAGAACGAGGCAGAAATGAAGAAACTGGAACTTCCTGTTATTTCCATAGTCTTTGAACCCAAAGAATTTATTTGTGCTGTTTGTTTCAAAGCAGCTTTCTATTCGGGGGTTAGGTTTTTGTTGAACTTCTGTGGCTGCTTTATTATGAAACTGTGCATGCTTTATGAAACTTCTGCCTTTTTAAAAGAAGTATTTTTTTTAAATGCCAAACTGTCATTATGGTTTCAAAGAAAGAAAAAAAAAAAAACATTCAGAAAAGGCAGAATGACTAAGAAGGCGGTCTTAATGAAGTACAATTTAAATTATTAATTACTTTTCCTGGTATCCTTGTATTGCTTAGCCTCGGGGTACACTTACTAAGTAATAATAGAAAGCAGCAGGTGAAGCTGTACAAGAAAACGTGTAACACATTCCAGTGATGACTAAGCGAGGTGGTAAGGTGAGAACCGTTTGCAGGTATCTTAACAGTTTAAACTCCCAAGGAAACAGGATAGTTAAGTGTGTTCTGAAGATAGACTCACTGAAAGTTGCGTGGTAACATTAATATAAAGCTAACATTGTGTGGATTAAAGACTCAAAGAAGCCCAGTTCTTCCATTTTTCTCCTATAAATATACCTATATTTCAAAATAGTACATTTTAGGCAGTGGGTTAAAATGAACCAAGGTGAATAAGGAATGAATTTGGTAAAACAGACTCCTTTCCTCTCCTTTCCAGCTCATATTTTCTAGAAATCAGGTAAGAATTGGATATAAACCTTTCGAGCTGCTTTCTACTGTGTAATATTAACAAATTTTAGTCATATTTAAATAGCAGTCACAGGTGATTTTAGCTTCTAGGTGTAATTTCTTTAAATGATAGCTGAAAATACCATTGACTTTGCTTTATTATTGAATATATGACTGTCACTGTCCACCCTGTAATAAAAGATTGCTGGAATGACCTTTCTGCTTTATAATTTGGTTGACTTTTAAGCCAGTTTTACACTATAAACACCAAACTGTTCAGTCCAGCTTTATGTGAAAGGGTTTCATGGCCTTGCCTACTCTGTTTTAGATGCCATTTCCCAGAGAGCCATTTGAAATGAAGACCGTATTTTTTCTGCCCTTATTTTCTTTTGGGGAACTGGTGAGAGGGGAAGAATAGGAGAGAAGGGATTATTATACAATGTGTATTTGGTATTAACTAGATTATGTTAAGGCTGGAGATAAAATCCTGTGCAAGGGGGACCTTCTCAGAAAGGAAGTGACATCACACTCTGGGCTAAGAGTAGTAAATGAACTTGGACTTTGACTGTGGCTGCTTTGTTGTCTGAGTGTCCCTAGGCCATACTAGAAGTCCTCAGAAGCCAGTGACTTGCCTTGTTTGTATAGTAGGAGGGTAGTGACCTTCAGGAGGAGCTCTATATATGAGACTTTTCAGCAAATACTTGATCTTCTTCTGGAGTTCTATGTGACTTCTGCATTCAGAAAAATCTTTGACTTCTAATGCAGACAATTGTTTCCAACATCCTATATTTTGAATAATCTGGCTTTCATCTATGGCATGTGAATAGGTGTGCTCATTAAAAAAATATGTATATACGGGTTCGATTCCTGGCCAACCAGGGAGAAACCCACATGGCATGGTAGACCTCTCCTGTCTCACCCACTGACTGCTCCCCTCAGCAGTGTCTTCTGTCCATCTGCCTGTTCTCCCCACTCTGTCTCTGGTGAATTCTCTCACCCTCCCACACCTGTACCCCAGTTCTTTTTTTTTTTTTAAAGATTTATTTATTTATACAAGCACTGGGTACAGTCAGAAGCGCGGGAGGGTGAGAGAATTCACCAGAGCCAGAGCGGGGAGCAGAGCAGGCAGAAGGACCGAGGTACAGTGCTGAGGGGAGCAGCGGGTGGCAGGAGAGGTCTGCGCGTCATGTGGGACCCTCCTCCAGTGGCCGGGGAGCAGCCGGGGATCGAACTGGCGCTGCAGAGGCTGCGGGCAGCTTCGCAACCCAGCGCTCAACTGCTGCGCCACCGGGGAGGCCCTGTACCCCAGTTCTTATATAAATAAATAAAAATCTAAAAAAAAAAGACAAAGAAAATAACTGCAACTGATATTAAAAAATTATTTAAAAAATATATACATACGTAATTTTTAGGTGAAATTTACATAATTTACATAATTATTTACACAGTGATTTTAGTATATTCACAGTGTTGTGCAACCCACTGCCTCTTCTAATTTTTTAAAAAATTTATGCATACAAGAGCTGGGGTACAGACCAAAGGTGTGGTGGGTGAGAGGATTCACCAGAGACAGTGGGGAACAGAACAAGCAGACTGACCGGAATACACTGCTGAGGGGAGCAGTGGGCAAGTCAGGAGAGGTCTGCTGCGCCATGTGGGTTGCTCCCTGGCCGGCTGGGGATCTAACTCGTGCTGCAGAGGCTGAGGACTGCCTCATAGGCTGAGTCTTACCCCCCTGTGTCACCAGGGAGGCCCCTAATTTTTTTTTAAAGATTATTTTCCTTCTTCTTGCTGGTGCTTTTGGTTTATTTATTTTTTTTAAAGATTTATTTATTTTATTTATACAAGCACTGAGTACAGTCAGAAGCGCGGGAGGGTGAGAGAATTCACCAGAGCCAGAGCAGGGAGCAGAACAGGCAGAAGGACCGAGGTACACTGCTGAGGGGAGCAGCGGGCGGCAGGAGAGTTCTGCACCATGTGGGACCCTCACCTGGTGGCCGGGGATCGAACCGGTGCTGCAGAGGCTGCGGGCAGCTTCGCAACCCAGCACTCAACTGCTGCACCACCGGGCAGGCCCTGTGCTTTTGGTTTAAGGCAGAAACTCACTTCATACAAAGTTTTTCTACCAATAAGGGTAACGGGCATTTCATTATCTTTGTTTACAATTGTACAAGCTAAGAGAGTATGTTTCTTCTCCTTTTCTTTAAGAGTGGGGATTCTTAATTGGGCTTCTAGATTACTTCACTTCTTTCTCTTCTCTGAAATTTTGTGATTGGGTACATTAGTCTCTAGTTAAGAACATTTAATGTTCACAATGAATAGAACAGAAATATATTCTTTGACAATGAAATTTGTTAGGATAGGCAATGATATGTGAGTTGCTAATAAGGTAGGATTTAAGACTAGGTTAATGTAATGTTTAGGAGATGGTGATGAAGCCTTTTAAGAACTTCATAGACATGTGTATAAGAGCTAGAAAACAGTGCCCTCCCCTGTGAGCACAGCGCTATGAAGCTGTCCGCAGCCTCTGCACCTGTTCGATTCCTGGCCGGCCAGGGAAATACCCACATGGCACAGCATACCTCTCCTGTCTTGCCCTCTACTCCCCTAGGCAGTGTTTTTGGTTGTCTGCCTGTTCTGTACCCCACTCTGTCTCTGGTGAATTCTTTCACCCTCCCATACCTCTGGCATGTACCCCAGTTCTTGTATAAATAAATAAATAAATCTTAAAAAAAAAAAAGGAGCTAGAAAACAGAACATATTTTGTTCCTTTTTCAAAGAAACTGGATGAAAAATTCCAAGCATATTTTGTTTAAAAATCTTAATCAAGTTTTAAGCTTTGAAGACCCCATAGGATTTAGAATGGCATAATAGCATCCTAGATAGACTATACTGGCCTTAAGCTTTTAGTCTCATTTCTATGTATATAAATTCTTAGATGGTGACTTTATACCAGGTCTTTTATGTGAAGGGCTCCTTTCTTTAATTTGTCTGACATATATAGTTTACATTGTCAATGGGATTAAATGATTATAACATTCTTTGAGTTTTTGCTAGAAAGGCAATTATGAAGATTCTGCATAAGGCAAGCTTGTGTTACAGGTTACATTTTTTTTAAGATTTATTTTATTTATTTGTGCATACAAGAGCTTGGGTGTAGGGGGGTGGGGTGGTGGTGGTGGTGAGAGGATTCACCAGAGACAGAGTGGGGAGCAGAATAGGCAGATCTACTGAAATACACTGCTGAGGGTAGCAGCTGGTGAGACAGGAGAGGTCTGCTTCCCCATGTGAGTTAGCTTCCTGGCTGGGGTGTCAAACTAGTGCTGCAGTGGCTGCTAATAGCTACATAGTGTTGAGACTTAACTCCTTGTGCCATCAGGTAGGCACCAATTATAGGTTAATTTTTAATGATAAATACTACCAAAACAGATTTCTGCTTTCTCTCATTTTTAAGTTTTAACTCACATTTCTAAACAAGGTAATTCAGTGAAATAATGGTATAACCTAAATCAGTATTACGTAAGGGTCAGTATAGAGCTGCCTGGAAGGATATTAGCAAATGAGGCTACTTCTTGGATTGTCCAAGTAGCACATTTTAGAGAGCAGATTTGAGCCAGACTTTTTTCATTATTTCATGTTTATCTGGCTCTTTTTCCTTTTCCTTAATTACATTGATTTGTTTAGTGCTTCCAGATACATTTCTTACTATTGTTTGCCAAGTGTGTTATTACTCAAGTTTGCCAAATATATTATCATTTGTGTTATTTTGATGGTAATGAGCAGTTGCCAGGGTATCTGTACTAAATCTGGTAATAAGTATTGTTAATGATGGTGGTGAGGAAGAAATTGATTTTTTAGTTCAGAGGAAATATTATTAAAAGAAAATTTTAATGTATTTTAAAGAGGTGAAGTACCTAAGAAAAATTGTTATATCAGAAAACATCTCATTATTTTGGAAAAATGTGATTGGTTCATGCAACTTTTATTTTTGAGGGGGAAGCCATGTATCGGCTATGTCAGTTTTTGAAATTTGAACAGAACAGTCAGTAGAGGCTCGGATCCACGTTCTTTTAAGTTTTAATGCAGTTCTGATTCTCTTACATTCCATAAGACTGAATAGTTATCTCCATTTTTTGTCTTATTTTAAACTGTAAGCTGATAATTTATTCTTTTAGAATACTGTTAGGCTAAGTGTAGGTTGTTGGAAATAACTATATGTAAGGCATGTTTGCCTCTCTGGGTGTTTGTCATGAAGGAATATTCTATTAAATTAGGCTTTGTTTTCCTGAAAGAGATTTCTTTCATTGAAAGTAGAATGTAGGGCTTCCCTGGTGGCGCAAGGGCTTAAGACGCAACCTATGAAGCTGTCCGCAGCCATTGCAGCATGTGTTCGATCCCTGGCCAGGGAGCTACCCACATGGCGCAGCAGACCTCTCCTGACTCGCCCGCTGCTCCCCTCAGCAGTGTATTTCAGTCAATCTGCCTGTTCTGTTCCCCACTCTGTCGCTGGTGAATCCTCTCACCCCCCCCCACACACACACACACTTCTGGCCTGTACCACAGTTCTTGTATGCATAAATAAATCTTAAAAAAAAAAAAAAGAAAGTAAAATGTAATGGTGATTAGGTTAGCAGAATTGTTTCCTCTTTTAACTTTGTGCAACTGAAGAATGCATACATGTTTTGGAGTGACTCTCTTTAAGCAGGGAAGTGAACCAGATTTTCCTGAATGGAAAGATCTGGGGAGATCTTTCTAAACAAACTTTTGCTTAAATATTTGAATGACTAATTGAAGATGTATATACAAAAAGGTGTAGCTTTAGGTGTTGGAGGCTTTGAGGAGATAATTGCAGATAAAATTATGAAACTGTGGTAGGTTCAGATTATTGCTTTGGATTTTGCTCCAATTAGCTTCTTGAGGCAAGAGTTAGATTCTTAATTATCTTTACATCCTGTGAGTCACCAGTGATGGTGGTAAGGAAGAAGATACTCATTATTTTTATTTTTTATAGATTTATTTTATTTATTTATACATACAAGAAGTGAGGTGTAGACCAGAGGTGCAGGGGCTAGAGATGATTCACCAGAGACAGAGTGGGGAGCAGAACAGGTGGATCTACTGAAACACACTGCTGAGGGGAGCAGTGGGCTAGACAGGAGAGGTCTGCTGTGACATGTGGGTCAGTTTCCTGGCTGGAGATGGAACTCATATTGTTAAAGTTAATAAATGTCTTGCTGGACATAAGTAACTTGGATAAAGGAATTCTTTTCTTTTGCTGTAGGTGCACATTAAAGATCCAAAACCATGACTGACTCCAAGTACTTCACAACCAATAAAAAAGGTTAGTATAAAAACCTATTAAAGCTTTGAGATCCTTTAAAAGATTGTTTTAAGAGTGTTCCAAGTAGAATGTCTGATCTCTTCAGACATGCATGTTATGCATGTACTCATTGGGGATCTATGGAAATGTGCTTGAGTATTATAAAAGTACAGATCTTTTAAGATGGGGCTGTGATATATATCATTCTGAAGTTTCTGTTTTAGTGAAAGGAAGTGATCCAACGTAGATCCATAGAAGATAGATCTGAGAGATCAAAACAGGAAGGAGCACATTAATCTTTTAATTTTTTACTTAGAAGTAAACATTTCATAAAAGGAGTATTATTTAAGTATTATAGATATGTAAAATAATGAAAAGGAAACCTTTTTTCCCTACTTCTGATCCCGAGGGGAATTCGGTCTGTGTCCTCAGTCTTTTTCTATGTGTGTAAGTGCATTGTTAATATATGTTTTTGAAAGGTTTTCTCTTTAATGAAAAAAGGCTCATGTAAAACCATGCACAGAAATTTAATATTTTCATATCCCTCGATATAGCTCTGCCTCATTCTTTGTTGAGGTTTTGTCTAAATATATTCTTTGTTCTTAAAATAGGATATCTCTAGAGTCAATTCTGTGATTTTTAGGTCATAAAATATTTGAATGGCTTTGAATTTATTAACATCATTGACTCAGAAATGTAATACTGGTTTTTAATATGGGTTGGGCCTAGGAATTAAGAATTTTTCTTGGGAAACTTCAATCTCTTCATCTTTTGTAAAATTGTTCTAAATAAAATAGCTTATCTCTAGTGGTATAGATGACCTTCTCATCAAAGACGAACAGGGCTAGCTTTTTATAGCCCGTTGTGCCCCTCAGCTAAGCTTAGTTTATGTTGCAAGATCATAATTCTTTGCGTTTGTATTCAGCAGTCCGTATGTTTACTGAAGTATTTAGGAATGACACCAACTATTCCACTTATTTTACAACAATTCACCTTCTCAAATGTACCTTTTTTTCTTCTCCGGTGGTTGAAATATGAAAACTTCTCTTCCCCAGAAGTTTTCTTTCTTACTTCCCCTGTAATGTTTCCTGGGCTCAGCCTGCCAACTGTCTCCAGATTTTTTTTTCTTAAAGATTTATTTATTTATACATAGAACTGGGGTGTAGAACAGAGATCCTGGGGGTGAGAGGATTCACCAGAGACAGAGTGGGGAGCAGAACAGGCGGATCTACTGAAATACACTGCTTAGGGGAGCTGTGGGTGAGACAGGAGAGGTCTGCATATGTGAGTTAGCTCCCTAGCTGGGATTGAATGCAGGCCATTGTGGTGATAGCATTGAGACTTAATCCCTATGCCACCAGGGAGACCCTGTCTCCAGATTTAACTAAGATTTGTTTTGACAAACACTCAGCAAAATACCTCTACCTTTATATATTCATTTATTCGGTAAATATTTGAGTGCTTACTATGTACAAATCACATTTTCTCAACATCCAAACATTTGTGAAGTTTCTGATAAATGTCCTAATTTCCTCCAAGTCAGTGTAGTTTCAATACTATTACTAATAACCCAAATCTTGGTTACTTAATATTTCGCACTTAAAGGAATCAGGACTCCCCTGAGAAATCAGTGATTTCAGGACTAGGTCAAGGGAAAGTTGAACACTATGAACATGAATATCTTGTGCCAGAAAGTTATGAAATGCTCAAAAAAAATCCTGTATCAAGGAAAAGCTTTGTTTGAAGGGACTCACACTGGCCAAATTTGAGATAATTTGAGAATTTTAAAAATTGGTAACAGTAGGGCCTCCCTGGTGGCACAAGGGGTTAAAGTCTCAACACTATGAAGTTAACCACAGCCACTGCAGCACAAGTTTAATCCTTGGCCAGGGAGCTAACCCACATGGGGCAGCATACCTCTCCTGTCTCACCTGCTGCTCCCCTCAGCAGTGTATTTCAGTCAATCCACCTGTTGTGTTCCCCACTCTGTCTTTGGTGAATCCTCTCATCCCCCACACTTCTGGCCAGTACTTCTATGCATAAATAAATAAATCTTAAAAAGAAAGAAACTACAGAAACTACATGTATATTTTTGGAAAAAAAATTGGTAACAGTAGTGGATTATAACCCTTTGAATAATAAGTATACACAGAAATCATTTCAGTAGTTAATTCAGGCAGGAGTCACAAATTAATCCTGAAATAACTAGCAGGTGAAAGTTTGATGAGAAACCAGATACTTAATAGTCTTAAATTATTTACTAATTAAAAAGAAAAAGAATAGTGGTTTAATGGTGTCAAAACCTGTCATTTACCACCTTAGCCAAGTATTCATTGTTCCAACCAGTAATAATACAGATTAACATAATTTTTCCTCTTGATGTGTGCACTAAGAAGAACACACCATCATTTATGAATTATGCATGCCAAACTGTATAACCACAGTGTAATCAGGAGGGACAATCTATAACAACCCCAAAACTGAAGGCATTCTATAAAAGTAATTGCCCTAGGCTTATTTAAAATGTCATTATGAGGGACAAAGGCTGGAGAAGAACTGTTAAACCTCAAAAGAGACTAAGGAGACTGGACAATGAATGCAGTGCATTGAATTCAATGACTGAAGGGGTTGGGGCAAAATTACTTTATAAATTTTATTTTTTTCTATTTTATTTTTTTTTTTTTTTTTAGAGATTTATTTATTTATTTATACAAGCACTGGGTGCAGTCAGAAGCACAGGAGGGTGAGAGAATTCACCAGAGACAGAGCTGGGAACAGATAAGGCAGACTGACGAAATACACTGCTGAGGGGAGCAGTGGGCGGGGCAGGAAAGGTCTGCGCCCCATGTGGGACCCTCACAGGTGGGCGGGGATCAAACCCACACTGCAGAGGCTGCGGGCAGCCTGGGGAGGCCTGGGGCAAAATTACCAGGGGAGGCCTGGGGCAAAATTACTTTAAAGGACATTATTAAGACTTCTAAGAAAGGTCTCGAGGTTAGCTTTATCATTGTTAAATTTCCTGATTTTGATCATAATCTTCTGGTTATGTGAAATAATTCCTTGGTTTAGAAACTGTTTAGATCTAAAGAGACACGCCTGCAGCTTACTGTTAAAGTGATTCAGGGGGAAAAAAAATATATAGAAAGTATGATAAAGCAAATATGGCACAATATTAACAATTTGGGAATCTTGCAACTTTAAGATTGAAATGGTTTCAAAATTAAAATTAAGAAAGAGCAGGAGGACCTCCCCGGTGGCGCAGCGGTTGAGCGCTGGGTTGCGAAGCTGCCTGCCGCCTCTGCAGCACCGGTTCAATCCCTGGCCACCGGGTGAGGGTCCCACACTGCGCGCAGACCTCTCCTGCCGCCCGCTGCTCCCCTCAGCAGTGTACTTCGGTCCTTCTGCCTTCTCTGCTCCCCGCTCTGACTCTGGTGAATTCTCTTATCCTCCTGTGCTTCTGACTGTACCCAGTGCTTGTATAAATAAATAAATATAAACAAACAAATAAATAAATAAATCTTAAAAAAAAAAAAAAAAGAGCAGGAGGGCACACTATGATGGCTTGGAGTGAGCAAGAAACACCAGTATGTTTTCTACAAAGTTTAAGCATATCTGTCCCGTTCTATCGTTTGGAGTTATATAAGGGTAAACAAGCTTTTCTGTTACTGTATAGAAAACTTGATAGTGAGTTCCTTAATTTTATTAACTATTCAGTAGTTTTCAGCCTTTCCTCCACCCAGGGAGATATAAAACAGTGATGTCTAGATCACATTTACTCCTCCCTTCACTCCTGGGTTCTGGTGTCCTTGGTCTGGGATATGGCCTAGGTGTGGGAGTTTTTTAAAGCTCCCCACATTTTTCTAACCTTTAGCCAAGGTTGAGAACATTTGCTGTTAGTGCTTGGTAGATTAGATTAGGGGAAGGAAGGGGAAAAAAATAAGAACTGAATAAAATTGTAGTATGCATGAGATTGCTTGCCTCAATTAGGGTGCCTCTTTGCCTCCAACTGTCTTTATTACTTACACCTCACTAAAACTGTCAGCCCCTTGTCATTCACTTTTAGCTTTTTAAAATTATCTTATTCTGAAATGTATTCATTTATTTCTCTACTAACATTTCTTTATTAACTTGATTTGGTAACAAGATATTGTCTATAATGGCATAAAAAAGATGTAAAAGCTCATTTAATTTTTCAAACCTTCTCATAATGGGGTCCTGGTAACCTTTTAGTTTTAAATTCAGGGATTTGTAAAAATTTGAAATTTAGAGATTGAATCACAGCTGGGTAAATACCACATTTAAAAAAATGGATAGACTGTGTCCCTTTTACTTCCTACAACACCCACCAGAACTGCCTCGGGAACATAGTCTTTACGTTTATGCTGTTGGAATTGGAATAATTTCAATTACATCCTGTTTTGATTCTTCAGCTCCTGCTGCTGTTCGTAATCAGACTTTCTGAAACCCTGATGCTTGTCCTTTACTGTTTCCAGAAGTAAATGATGGGAACCCTAAGGGCTGGATTTGGCAGCAGAGGACTTGATGAAAGATGAGAAATGACTGTTTAAAGAGCCCAACTTTTCTGGCTGTGCTATTTTTCAGTTGTCAGTGAAATAAAGCAGCAATTTTTGTAATGTTAATTGTTTGCCTTATTGGCAGTGGGCAGTGGATATTGATACTGCTTTTATAGTGCTCAACCTCTCTCTTTTTTTTAAAGATTTACTTTTTTATGCAAGAACTGGGGTGCGGGCCAAAAGTGCAGGGGGTGAGAGGATTCACCAGAGTCAGTGTGGGGAGCAGAACAGGCAGATTGACTGAAATATAGTGCTGAGGGGAGTAGGAGCAGGCGACACAGGAGAGGTCTGCTGAGCCATGTGGGCTAGCTCCCTGACGGGGGATCAAACTCATGCTGCAGTGGCTGGCAATAGCTTGATAGCCCTGAAACTTTAACCACTGTGCCACCAGGGAGGCCTCAACCTCTCTTTCTTACCTGTTTCATTCTTTACATCTAGAGGCTTCAGCAGATCACATAGCTTGCTCTCCCAAGCTCTCTATGATGGTGAATGCAGTTTGGTTAAAATGAGCATCAAGAAAATCACAAAGGTGAAGGAAAATGAGACACAGTTGTAGAATTTTTTAAGGGTATAAATGGAAAGTCAAAGTGGGAATAGTCAACTTCTTTTTCATGAACTTAGCGGTATATTTTTTTCTTTTTAAATATTTATTTAAAATATTCTTTTTAAATATTTTCTTCTTTCTTTTAAAACTAGTAAGAGTTGTCATTTTTTTCCTTTATTTTTAGTTCCAACTTTCCCAAGATATGTGAGCTTGTTCCTTAAAATAGTGGGATTTACATTGCAGGCCCTGAGTAGTCACTCATGATTGTACCTTTAGAAATGTCTCTAGTTTGGGGCCTCCCTGGTGGCACAGGGGTTAAGCACCACACTATGAAGCAATGCGCAGCCTCTGCAGCACAAGTTCAATCCCTGGTTGGCTAGGGAGCAACCCACATGGTGAAGCAGACCTCTCCTGACTCACCCTCTGCTCCCTTCAGCAGTGTGTTTCAGTCAGTCTGCCTGTTCTGTTCCCCACTCTGTCTCTGGTGAATCCTCTCACCACCCCCCCCACCCTGCATCTCTGACCTGTACCCTACCTCTTGTATGCATAAATAAATAAATATTTGGGAAAAAAAAAGAAATGAATCTAGTTTGTACCATTTTTGAAGCTTCAAGTTATTATTCTTGTTAGATTGATTAAGTAAGATGGGCCCTTAAAACATATTAACTTCTTAAGTACTAATTAGAGCAGTGATTCTGTCCTCCAAGAATCACTTGGGGGAACTTTAAAAATGAATGTTAAGAGTTCGTCCTTGGCATGCTGATTTATTTGTTCCCCGAGGGATCTTAAACGTTGTTATTTTAAAATACTTTACAGATAATCTTAGTGTGTTGCCAAGGTTGAGACCCGCTGGAATCAATAATCAGTAGAAAGAGTTTTAAGGCCAGCTCTATCACTTCCTCATTCTTTGACCTTTAGCCTCAGTTCTTTATAAAATTGATAGTGGGTGAATGAGGTTACTAGATTCTCTTCTGACTTGAAAACATTGATGTGTGCACCTGTTCCCTGTCTTCATTAATTTTTTTTCCTAATGACCTTAAAATTCTGATGGGATATCATCCCTCAGATCACCATTCTTTCACCACGGATGTTAGATATGGTGAGATTTGCTTTTTTTCCACTCATGTGGTTCCTAGAGATCTGAATTCACATTGCTCTCTGACAATAACCTAGAAGATAGTGTCACCATCAGTGAATCAGTTAATATTCTGGGATTTGGGTCATACCTATTGTATAGTTTTTAAATGATCTTATTTCAGTTGCAGCCTTTGGTTAGCTGTTGTGGTATTAGTTATTATATAGTGCAATATTTTGTTTAGATTGCTAGTCCTGGGACCTCACCCATTTGTTCTCTTTTCTTGTAGGAGAAATCTTTGAATTAAAAGCTGAACTCAACAATGAAAAGAAGGAAAAGAGAAAGGAGGCTGTGAAGAAAGTGATTGCTGCTATGACTGTGGGGAAGGATGTTAGGTAAGGATGATCTATCCTGCTGTTGGTTACTTTAGACCCATATCACACTTATGCTTTCCTTTTAAGATTTATGTGTAATTACAGCGCCTATGAGAATGGGTTTTCCCACTGAAAACATGATTAGGAAAATGTAGTGAACTTGTTTTGATTTATTGCATACAGATACAGCATAAAACCTTCTGAGAGCTGGCAGTTACAAATCTGTTGTTGAGGTACGTAGGGTAAAGAAAAATGTCAGGCTTTTCTGCCCTCCCACCATCAGGATAGATGATGGATCCTTGCGGTCCTGAATGCATGCCTGATGGCGGGCACCTGGAGTAGGGTGTGGGCATAGGTAGATGAGATTCACCTGGGCTGAGACTATGCTTTTAAGGGCGGCATCACGGGGACGCCAGCAGCAGAAGAAGAAGCCAAGAATGAGCAGAAGCCGAGAGAGAAGCAAGAGAAGCAGAAGCTGAGAGAAGGCCGGAGAACCCAGATAGAGTGAAGACTTGCTGGGGACTGGGAGGCTGGCAGGCCTCCCAGCCCCCCAGCACCCCTGCCTGCTGTGTACTGGGTAAATCCCAATAAAAAGACCTGCAAAAAGCCACTAAGGGCTCTGACTCCTCCTTCACCCGGTCTTCATGGGATCAGAAAACCTGCACTGTGTCCATTCTTGCCCTTTACAAGGTATTTAGAAGATTACAAAAAATATACTGAGAAGTATACACATGTTCTTTAATTGGCTCAAGCCAGTGCCTTCAGCTTTATAATAACTAATTCAGTTGCTGAATTCAGGATGAAAATCAATGTTAATGAAGTCCATTTGGTTTTTTTTTTTTTTCTTGTAATTTGGCAGGACCATTTAGAAGCAAATAAAAATTAGAGTCTACAGACCCTTTTGGAGTCCCAAGATCCTTTCAAGGGGTCCATGAAGTCAAAGTATTAACATAAAAATAGGCCAGATGCATGGGAGGGTTAATATTTAGGTATTATTTGACTTTTTAATTGTGTTAGCATTTGCACTGCTGGTGCCTACTATGAATCAAGGCAGTATCATTGTATTCTTAACTAACATGTACTTGGAGGTAAAGGGGCAGTTTCACTTAGAACTGTCCTTATCGAAACATTAAAATTTTATCTTATTAAGTCTTGAATCTTGAGTACAGGTGTTTTTTTTTTTTAAATTCCATATGATGAAATACGAATCATGCATAAAAAGCATTTCTGTGTAGCAAGGAGACATGGTTGACTTGAGAAAATGCCCCATGTGATTTTTCAGATGGCAGCACTGCTTTTTTTGTGAAAGAATGATTGACAGGGGACTTCCTGGTGGCACAAGGGTTTAAGTGTCAGCACTGTGAAGCTATCTGCAGCCACTATAGCACAAGTTCGATCCCCAGCCAGGGAGCTAGCCACATGGCGTGGCAGACCTCTCTTGACTTGCCTGCTGCTCCCGTCAGCAGTGTATTTCAGTTAGTCTGCCCTCTCTGCTCCCCACTCTGTCTCTGGTGAATCCTCTCACCCTCCTGCACATCTGGCCTGTACCCTGGTTCTTGTATGCATGAATAAATAAATCTTTAAAAAAAAAGATACAATTTGAGGAATGAAAAAGAGAAAAGGAAAATAACCATTTGTCTAGCTTTAATGTGTCAAAGAAGAATATCCAGTTATATGAAAAAACTATTAAAATGCTCTTCTTTTTTCCATGCATTTTGTAATATGTATGAAATTGGATTTTCTTCTTATACTTTAACCAAAACAACATTGTACAGCAGAAGCAATTAGAGAATCCAGGTGTCTTTGTTTAAATTAAATATTAAAGAGATTTTCAAAAATGTAAAACACTGTCAATCATCTTAATTATTGAAAAAAAATTATATAAAGGCGATGTGTTAATATGAACTTGATTTATTGTTATTTTAAAATGGAGTATCATTTTCTGTTTTAATTCCTAACAATAGGTATAACCCACATGAACAAAATCTCTAAGGATCTCAGAAAACTTTAAGAGTATAAAGGGTTCATGGTCCAGAAAAGTGAGAGCAGCTCTCCTAGCCAGGTGGGGAGCCTTATGAAAATAAGAAATGACCCAGTAATTTTTTGTGCTCTAGGTGGCTCTCATTTGAGGTGGAGTTTTGTTAATTGGTTCTTATTTTTTGGGGGCAGGGGGTACCAAAAACCCAGAAACAAACAATTGGTTCTTTTTTTTTTTTTTTTTAAAGACTTATTTATTTATTTATACAAGCACTGGGTACAGTCAGAAGCACGGGAGGGTGAGAGAATTCACCAGAGCCAGAGCGAAGAGCAGAACAGGCAGACTGACGAAATACACTGCTGAGGGGAGCAGCGTGTGGCAGGAGCGTTCTGCACGCCATGTGGGACCCTTGCCGGTGGCCGGGGATCGAACTGGCGCTGCAGAGGCTGCGGGCAGCTTCACAGCCCAGTGCTCAACAGCTGCGCCACCGGGGAGGCCCCAAACAATTGGTTCTTAATTTGCTGTTTGTTCTGCAACATCTGTCTCAGGTCTATAGACTTTTCTGTAATAGGCAAGACAGTAAGTACTTTAGATTTAGCAAGGCAAGAGACAAAAATGAGGATATTATGTAAAGTAATTACATGACCAAGTAACAATTTTTCACAATTTTTTTGTTGCTGACATTGAAAATAAAGTAAGTATAAATTTTTGTACTATAAGTCTACTGAGAAGATTGTGGTTCAAAGTTGGTATTCTCTATCAAATCAATTATAAATATTCATCTATAAAAATCACTTTTTAGCTCATGGCTTATACAAAATTGGTGGGCCGAATTTGGCCCACAGTCTGTTTCTTGCCTACCTGTGAACGAGTCACTAATGGGCTTTTTAATTTTAAAGATTCATTTTTGTTTATCTATGAGTACAATAACTGGGTTATAGGCCAGAAGAACCGGGGGTGAGAGGATTCACCAGAGACAGAGTGGGGAGCAGGACAGGCAAATCTACTGAAATACACTTCTAAGGGGAGCAGTAGGGGAAGCTGCCCTGCCGTGTGGGTTAGCTACCCTGGCTGAGAGGAATTGAATTCATGCTGCAGTGGCTGGCAATAGCTTGATAGTGCTAAGACTTTAACCCTGTGCCACCAAGGAGGCCCCTAATGGGCTTCTTTTTTTTTTTTTTAATTTTTAAAAAAGATTTATTTATTTAAGCACTGGGTACAGTCAGAAGTGCGGGAGGGTGAGAGAATTCACCACAGCCAGAGCGGGGAACAGAACAGACTGACGAAATACACTGCTGAGAGGGGCAGCGGGCCCGGTGGGAGAGGTCTGTCGTGCCATGCGGGGACCCTCGCCCCGTGGCTGGGGATTGAACCGGCGCTGCAGAGGCTGCGAGCAGCTACGCAGCCCAGCGATCAACCACTGCACCACCAGGGGAGGCCCTCTAATGGGCTTTTTCAGTTGAGGAATAATTGTAAAGTGAGAGCAGTACAGAGGAGTCAGTGAAAGTTAGTAAACTTTGCTGGTGAGGCTTTTGTTTTTTTACCAAATTTATTTCTACATCCTACAGAAAAGTTGAAAGCCATTTGAGTTTCTTATGTATGTTCAATAAATATCTTAATCTGCTAATTGTGTGTGTTTGTGCCTGGCACTATACCGTATATCAAAATTCAAACAAAAGGATATATAAGATCTTTTAGCCTTCATAGAACTTACTAATTGAAGATACCCCAAATTAGGAAATAATAAAATATGGTTATGTAATTAAGTACTAATATGTCTTTCTAAAGGCAGTAACAATTCTACAAAATGGAAATTATTGTAAATAGGAATAGTTGAAAAACCCTCCTTGGAAGAGATGGATTTGACTTGTGCCTAGAGAGATAGCTAAAAGGAAAATAGCGGATAGAGAAAGAGTAGGTATTTATAGGCTGTCATATTTATTTATTTTATTGAGGCAACACTGGTTTACAATGATGTGTATAATTTAGATGTATGTTACCACACCTACCACCAGGGCATCCATAGTCTTCTACCATGAGACCATTGATTGGGCTCCCTCCACAATTTGCTCTTAACTTTCCCCTTCCTCTCTAGGTTGTCATAATTTTGTCCACTCTTTAAGATCAGTGCTCACTCATCAAAATAAGTTACATAGGTGATAAGTTACATAGGTAAAATTTTCTGGTAGCTGTATTAAACAAGTAAAACAGAAATTAATATATTTTACTTAACTCAGTATATCAAAGATAGTATCATTTCAGCATGAAATCAATATAAAAATTTTAATAAGATACTTTACATTGTAATTTTGATTCTAAGACTTCAAAATCTAAAATGTGCTTTATGTTTATATCACCTCAGTTTGGATTAGCCACTTTGTAAGTAGTCAGTAGCCACAAGTGAACAGTAGCTATCACATTAGAAAGCTCAGGTTTCTAGCTTTTCTAGGTTGGTACCTAATTAGTTTTGATCAAGATCTTCTTGTTTAGGGTATGGGAATTTAATTATTTAAGATCTTAAATTTACTGTTGATTAATGTTTCACATTTATTTATTTACTGGTTTTGTGGTTAGTTTGTAACATGAGTTAGTCCCTGAGGAAATGGATAGAACACTTTTGAAGAGTGTTTATTAGTGTTTGTTAAATGTTTACATGTGTGTGAAACACAGTAAGTACCTACATAGATGCACGTTAAATAATTTGCTTTCCAGGGCAGAAGTCATTGGTAATATGGTAAAGTTTTGACTTTGTGATAAATCGTCCTCTTTTTTTGTTTAAGATTTATTTTTTGTTTATACAATAGCTCAGGTACAGGCCAGAGGTGTGGGAGGGAAAAACGATTCACCAGAGACAGAGTGGGGAGGAGAACAGGCAGACAGACCGAAAACACTGCTGAGGGGAGCAGCAGGCGAGACAGGAGAGGTCTGCCGTGCCATGTGGGCATCTCCCTGGCCAGCCGGGAATCGAACCTGTGCTGCAGAGGCTGTGGACAGCTCCACACGCTGCACTCAATCTGCTGGGCCACCAGGAAGGCCCTAATCTGTATTTTAAATATTTAGCTTACACTTTACTATTTGACACATTCAACTCTTCTTTGCTAATTGGTACTTATTTGCTAATGGAAACAAATTTCCTACAGCTTTACAGAAGAATGGTAAATCATGAATTTGATTAAAACTTGGGAAAAATACCAACTTTTGTATTTGATTACACTCAGGTTTCCATTTGTCTGAATGTGCAGTGTTAAACATAAATAAAAAGTAATGGGGACCTCTTAGGCAATTACTAATTGCCAGTTTAGGGTTAGACATGTATAGAATGAGCATCTTGCAAGGAAGCTTTTAAAAATACAGTAACAACACAAGGATTCAGGATCTGGATAAGTTGCCACTACTGGTCAAGTGTGTATAAATGTGACAAATGTGATTGTTCAAAGTATAATGGTAGTGCTCTGAAGCTGCAGTGGATAAATATGAAGAGTTATTATTAGTTTTGGGGGTGATAAAGACAGTGATTTAAAAAAAGATTCCTAAAGATACATACTAAAATACTATATATGAAATGATATAATGTCTAGGGTTTGTTTAAAAATAATATAGAATAACTGGAAGGGGTAGGGATTGGAGCAAGGGAAAAATGGGTTGAGCATCTGAGATTGGACACAGATCAGTTTTTACAGCTGGTTAATGGATACACTGGGTTCATTATACTGGTCTCTACTTTTTTTTGTTTGAAAATTTGCATAATCAAAAGTTTTCTAAAAATCTGTGTGGAGATCTTGGGACCATTTTCTTTAGTAATTCATCTTTGTGATAATTATCATCTCTATGGGAACATTGTCCTGGCATCAAATCAGTCTCTAAAATATGGCTACTTCTTTTGTGTTTTGTCATGGCACCATCATCTATTTATTTTCCTTTTCTCCTCTCTTCTTAGCTCTCTCTTCCCAGATGTTGTGAATTGTATGCAGACTGACAACTTGGAACTAAAGAAGCTAGTGTATCTCTACTTGATGAACTATGCCAAGAGTCAGCCAGACATGGCTATCATGGCTGTCAACAGCTTTGTGAAGGTAATTTTACCCTGAGGAATCAAAAGCAGTCTCTTCTACCTCAAATAATCTTTTTAGAAGTTTCTCTTGATGTAATTATTAGCATTTGCATTGGAAATAAGCAGTATCTTCTAAAAGAGGACCTCAAGAGATATACTGGCAATGACTGGAATGTTCATATTTTAAGTATTCTATATGCCAACATGTTAACATCCAGTTCATACCATATGGTGAGCCTTCTGTTAGCTGGGCTTGCTGCATCCTTGCCAGAGGATGGGAGAAGAAACCAGTGAAACCTGTTTATCTTCCAGAACTGACAACAATTGGGCCTATCATATTGTTCTACCAGTAATCTGGGACTTTACCTATTTTATCTTAGACATTAAGCTTATGGGGGTTAGAAGTATTAGAAACTACACAAGTTACTGCTTCTACTTTGTTTAATTTACTAGATCGTGCAACAGATGATTAATGTTTTAATTGTGGAAATTATCAAACACATTCAGGTAGAGAGAATAATAGTATGATAAATTCTTAAATGTCCATCTTATAGTTTCAGTAGTTACCAACTCATCACCAGTCTTTTTTAAATTTCATTTTTTTATTTTATATATTTATTACATCATTTTTCATTTTTGCACAATGTATGCATTTTCATCTTGGTTATAATCCCCATACAATTCCCAACCCCCCTTATTTTGACCCTAATCCTTCCTCCCCTCCCCTCCCTGTGTTGTGTCTCTGGTTTATAGTTGCTTGTTGGTTTTTACTTTATTATAATTAGTCTTTTTCCTGGCCCCTTATTTAGGTTTTCTAAATTCCTGCTATGAGTGAGACCATTCGTTTTTTTTTTTCCTTTCTGGCTTGTTTCACTGAGCATGATCCCTTCCAGCTCCATCCATGTTGCTGCAAATTGCATGTGTTTATCATTTTTGATTGCTAAGTAATATTCCATTGTGTATAGGTACCACATCTTCTTGATCCAGTCATCTATTTTGGGGCATTTGGGTTGTTTCCATAGCTTAGCTGTTGTAAATAGTGCTGCTGTAAACATAGGGGTGCGGTGCCCTTTTGAATTAATGTTTCTGTGTCCTTTGGGTAAATACCTAAGAGTGGAATTGCTGGATCATATGGAAACAGGTTGAGGAATCTCCACACAGCTTTCCATAGTGGTTGGACCAGTTTTCACTCCCACCAGCAGTGCAGGAGAGTTCCTTTTTCTCCACATCCTTGCCAACATTTGTTGTTGCTAGTTTTTTTAATATGTGCCATTCTCTCTGGTGTAAGGTGGTATCTCATTGTAGTTTTGATTTGCATTTCCCTGATTACAGGTGATGTTGAACATTTTTTCATATGCCTGTTGGCCGTTTGCATTTCCTCTTTGGAGAAGTTTCTTTTTAGCTCTTCTGCCCATTTTTTTACTGGATTATTTTTTTTGTTTTTGTTGAGTCTCATCAGCTCTTTGTAGATTTTTGTGATCCCTCCTTTATCATTAGTGTTGTGTGCAAAAATTTTCTCCCAGTCAGTCATCACCAGTCTTTTTTATTTCCTAACTGTATCCCTTCTCCTACTAGACAATTTGTTTATTTGAGGTAACATTTGCTTGTATCACTGTACATGATTCAGAGGAACTAGGTTCATATCTCCGATGTGTATTACCACTAGATAATTTTAAAACAAACCCCATCTTTACATTTGTCAGATTAAGACCCCAAGTTACATCTTAAAATATGACCATTAAAAAATTGCTTGAAATTGAGTAGCCAGGCTACTTTTTCCTGTCATTAGATTTGATGGACATAATAATAAAAGTTTTTCAGTTAATTTTCTTCCTTTGCAGTTTAGTCTGCATTAAAAAGAAAAATCAGACAGCTTTAAAAATAAGCTTCTATTAAATTATTTTGAAAAATAACATGCTTTCTTATGGAATTTTTTTCCATGTTAAATTATGTTTTATAGACTCAGAAAAGATAACATTTCATTCTTTCTACCTGGCAGTTCATATATAGACTATATCATTGGAAATGATTTGCTTTATATATTTTGGAAATAGTATATCCATAGGTTTATAATGTTTAAAGAAAAAAAAATTTTTAAAGACTTATTTATGCATAGAAGTACTGGGGTATAGGCCAGAGGTGCGGGGTGGGGTAAGAGGATTCACCAGAGACAGAGTGGGGAGCAGAACAGGCGGATTTACTGAAATACCCTGAGGGGAGCAGCGGGCAAGACAGGAGAGGTCTGCTGCGAGACATATGATCTAGCTCCCTGACCAGGACTCGAACTCTGGCCACAGCAGTGATAGTGTGATTGCGCTGAGACTTAACCCCTATGCCCCCAGGAAGACCCTGTTTAAAGAAAATTTTTAATGTAGGGCAAGTCAAGGAGCGTTCTCAGTTAAGTATTTGTACTGTATTTGAATATACTTGCTAATAAAGAAGAGTATGTTAATTGGATCTCAGAGCACCCTCTCTGACGCTTAACTCCAGGAACTTAGGTAAGACTAAAACTACCTTCTATGCTCTCCTTTACTTCCTTTGTCATAGACCTCAGAAATCCAGTCCTCTTTTTTCCCTATTTGATATTTGTAGACTGACAGAGGTGTGAGACACATTTTTCCAATTCTTTATTTTTTTTCCTGTGCTAGGATACAAACCGTAAGGCCTTTTCTGTTTTCAGAGACGTCTACTAATGACTATGGGGTTGGTAACAGCAGGTCACTAGGCTTCTTCCCAGCCCTGAATGAGGCCTACTGGGCATTTATTCCTCCATTGTGTATATAAAATGGTTAAATGAATTCCTAAGATTAAATACGCAACTAAGATTCGTGCTTGAGAAAGAAGTAGCATGGGAGATATGTATAATCTTAAAGGGAAACTTAAAATTAATGAAATATTAATAATTAATCAATAATAAAATAATTAAGTAATAATAATGAATATTTCAAATTAATGAGATATTCTTTTGTGTCTTATGTAATCTAGACTTTCTACTCTTAGTTACCATGTACATCTGTTCTTGTCAATGGTTGTTTTTCATAGGACTGTGAAGATCCCAATCCTCTTATTCGAGCCTTGGCAGTCAGAACCATGGGGTGCATCCGGGTGGACAAAATCACAGAATATCTCTGTGAGCCTCTCCGCAAGTGCTTGAAGGATGAAGACCCTTATGTCCGGAAAACAGCAGCAGTCTGTGTGGCAAAACTCCATGATATCAATGCCCAAATGGTGGAAGATCAGGGATTTCTGGATTCTCTGCGGGATCTCATAGCAGATTCAAATCCAATGGTAATTTAAGACTACTTAATAGAGTTTTGAAATATGTTTTTAGGAACTTTCTTTTATTGTATTTTAGTCTTTTTTTTTTTTTAATTGTATCTCTATTATAGTTTTCCCAAGAGCAGATGTCAATATTAGATATCAAATTGTTGGACCTCTGCCCTCTAAATAGAAAATCTTTCTGATTCTTCTCATATTTCTCAGTAGCAGAACTTTTCCCTGCTACACTTGGATATATTGCTTACAAGGCACCCCTGGCACCCAGGATACAAAATTTAAGTTTCCAATGCTGACCTGGTGCTTGCACAAATGGGGTGCCTCCTTAAATTTGTGTAGGAAGTGCCTCTCGTGTCACTTTTGTGCTGGCTTGTTTTACATACTCACTTTCAAATCATAACTTGGCTATTGTGAATAGGGCTGCAGTGAAAATAATGCTTATAATCTGGCCACAATGAGATGTGTTGACTCAATGAGTAGTTTGTAATCTCACTCTAGGGAAGAAGATGGGGGTGGGGGGGGTGACAGAAATGGGCCATTATAGAATGTAATATTGTAGGTATATTATCAGTTGGCATTTTGGAGTAGCTTGGATTAAAACATGAGCTCTTAAGTTTTACTAGAGGAGAAAAAATATAACAGGTACTATCTAGTCATTGTATCCTTAAGGGGATGATAAATGACAGAAATACACTAAGAACAAATACATATTGCTCTGTGGTTTTAACATGTCATTTGAGGTACCTCTAAAAAGGAGAAGTCAAGATTCCAAACTGGGCCTCCCTGGTGCAAGGGGTTAAACTGCAACCTGTGAAGCGGTCTGCAGCCACAGCAGCATGAGTTCGATCCTCGGCCAGGGAGCTAATCCACATTGCACAGCAGACCTCTCCTGACTCACCCACTGCTCCCCTCAGCGGTATATTTCAGTCAATCTGCCTGTTCTTTTCCCCACTCTGTCTCTGATGAATCCTGTCACACACACCCCCGCACCTCTGGCCTATACCTCAGTTCTTGTATGCATAAATAAATAAATCTTTAAAAAAAAAAAAAAGATTCCAAACTGCTGGTTTTTAGGAGGATAAAAATATAGAAACCACCTATGTATTTCATTATGATAGCTTTGGTTAATTTATTTTTACTTTCTATTCGAGACTTCAGGGGCTCCAACCAAAAGAATTGTAAAAACTAAAGCATAAATCTGTTCAGACCTTGAAGGTTGTTGCTGAGTCTTTTAATTAGACTTTTCCCTATTTCCTTCTTGTTTTAGTCTCATAAGTAGGAATTGTCTATCTGTACCACCAGAACATATACTTTGGTAGCTACATTATACACACTTGGTTTGATTTCCATTTGTTTGTGATAACAGAATACTAAGTGTTCTTCTGTTCATTGTCCTGTTCACTTCCCCATTGCTTTTTAAAATTCCCTCAATTCTTACCTTTTCCACATTTCCTATTAAAGGACCGTATATATTTCCCTTTTTTTTTTTTAAAGCAATAAATGGATTTAACTGGCAGCAATAATAAGTTTGGGAGGATGTTTATTTTGGACAACCAGTAACCAAAACTGGTCATGTATGTTTTGACAGCAGTAGGTGAGAATAGGCATTGGTCTTTCAGTGTATTTAATTCTTTAAACTTTAATCAGATCTATCACATTTATTATCCATAGGAAATTTCTTTTTTTTTTTAAAAGATTTATTTTATTTACTTATGCATACAAGAGCTGGGGTATAAGCCAGAGGTGTGGGGGTAGGGGTGTGTGAGGATTCACCAGAGACAGAATGGGGAGCAGAACAGAAATATACTGCTTGTATTCCACTCCTAGGTATTTACCCAAAAGACACAGAAACATCAATTCCAAAGAACACCTGCACCCCTATGTTTATAGCAGCACTGTTTACAATAGCTAAGCTTTGGAAACAACCCAAATGCCCAAAAATAGATGACTGGATCAAGAAGATGTGGTACATATATACCATGGAATATTACTCAGCATTCAAAAAAGATAAACACATGCAATTTGCAGCAACATGGATGGCGCTGGAAGGGATCATGCTCAGCGAAATAAGCCAAAAAGAAAAAGAAAAGTACCGGATGGTCTCACTCATAACAGGAATCTAGAAAACTTAAATAAGGGACCAGGAAAATGAATAACTATAAGAAAGTGAAAATCAAAATCAACAAAAAACTATGAACCAGAGACACTTTTAGGGGGGCGGGGGCAGGAGGGGAGGGATTGGGGTCAGAATGGGGGGCTGCAATTGTATGGGGAATATAACAATAAAATTTATTATTTAAAAAATAAAAATTAAAAAAAAATAAAATTCCATAAAGAATTATCCAGTTACCTAAAAAAAAAAAAAGAAATATACTGCTTGTATTTTGGTCAGTCTGCCTGTTCTGTTCCCCATTCTGTCCCTGGTGAATTCTCTCACTCCCCACACCTCTGGCCTGTACCCCAGTTCTTATATGCATAAATTAAATCTTTAAAAAAAAAAGAAAGAGAAATACACTGCTGAGGGGAGCAGTGTGGAAAACAGGAGAGGTCTGCTGTACCATGTGGGTTAGCTCTCTGGCCGGGGATCAAACTCATTCTGATAGCTTCATAGTACTGAGACTTAACCCTCGGGGCCACCAGGGAGGCCGTCTATAGGTAATTTCTTTTCTCTGCATTAAAGCACTGAGATAATATAGGGAATTGTTTCACTTTTTAATTCAGAAAAGAACCTCATTTGTGGTGCTGTGTGGTAGGTGGACTCGATAATTTTTTCTGATTATGTAATATGTCTATAATAATACTTACCAAGTGAACCTTTGGATTTTCACCTTTGAATTTTTGTTCTTTTTATTTGAAATTTATTGGGAAGTATTTTTGTTCTTAAAATAATTGTAGTCGAAGGCAATTTTATTTATGGCATTTTCTTTTACATAATAATAGATTGCCTTAAGAGAATTGCTTATTTAAAACAACATGTCCCTTCTGTGGACATTTAAATTTCTAGGTAATACCATGTGCTGGAATATCTGCAAACCACTCAGATAATGTGTCTATTAAAATCAGTAGCAAATTTATGGCCATTGTATTTCTTCTCTTGCTAGGAAAAAGATTACTCATAGTTTCTTAAACTTTTAGGAAGGAACTCTAGTAAAACTAACAGTGAGTTAACCTTTTTTCAATATACATAATTGCTGAAACCTTGTCAGAGCTCATTTATACCTGTAGAATATTTGTAGTCAGCCTTATCTTGATAATTTTTAGTAACCACTGGGAATCTTATGACAAAATGTGGTTTTAAATTCACTTGTATAAGACTGTAGTGTGGGTTTTGTGTGTGTGTGTTAGTTTGCTTTTGGGAGTTTTTGCAGTCTTTAAGTTACTTTAAATATTTGTTGGCTATAGATTTATTATATTAGAAATAGTCTATGATTTTGATAGAGTATTCACTTTTTCCCTTATAACTAGTATGAATTACCAGATCTGTAAGTGAGGATGCAGGTATACTTTCTTATATTTGGTAGTAATTTTTCATTTTTCATGCTGCCTGAAAAAGGGATACATTTGAGATAACATTTCATTGAATCTAAGATGCCGTTGATTATAATATGTATTATTTTGTGTATAGAAAAATACTTCCTATTGGATGTGCCACTGATTATATAATATGTCCCAAGTTAAGAGATGTTATTATGTAAAATTAACCTCTCAGTCTTGAATTTTGGTAATATCACCTAAAATTGCATAAAGCTTGGGAGAAAGCACTTAAACATATAATGTTTGATTTTTATCCTCAAAACTAAAACTAATCTATGAAGTGGATTAAATTATCTCATTTTCAGATGAGGAAATTTCACAGATTATGTGCTGTCCCAATATTCTATAATAGTTAACTAGGATTTCAAGCTCACACTTTTTTACTCTCAAACTCATGATGTGATTGACAGTATCACTTCACCATCATCCCTCACATATGCACACCTCTACACACATAAAATTATTTGGCTTAGATTTTTCTCTCCATTGCCTAATATACATATTTCAAATTCACACTTAACTGCTTTTTATAGTTATTTGTATGTCTTGAATCAATTCATAATTTTGAGTGCTATTAAAATTGTTAATATTTTAATAGCAAATCATGTGTGGCTCTCTGCTAATGTATGAATCATTTTAATTCTGGGTTGCCTGACCACTAGGAAGCCATATATATCATAATTAGTGGTTTAATATATATTTTGAAAACTATCTGTTTCTAGCCAACAACATAAAATATTCGGGAATGATTATGAGTTGAGATCTAGGTATGGAGTGATCCAGAGAAGATTGATTATGTGTCTATAATTATATTATCCTTGGTAAATCAAGGTTATATTTTCTTCTTTCCCAGGTGGTCGCTAATGCTGTAGCAGCATTGTCTGAAATCAGTGAGTCTCACCCAAACAGCAACTTACTTGATCTGAACCCACAGAACATTAATAAACTGCTGACAGCCCTGAATGAGTGTACTGAATGGGGCCAGATTTTCATCCTGGATTGCCTGTCTAATTACAATCCTAAAGATGATCGGGAGGCTCAAAGGTGAGTCTATTCTCCTAATTAGTATCTGGGATTCTTTTCTGGTTCATTAAATTTTAGTGTCTGTATTAGAATAAGGCCTATTATGTTTAAGGAAGATCAGTAGCTTATGGGGCAGATATTGGTATGTGCAGGGTTTTTTCTCACTAGATTTAGGACCATTTTAGGCGATGAGGTAAACATACAAAAAATAACTCTTCTGAGAGACATGTGCGTTTCATTTCTTATTTGAACAGTATAATTACCCTCTGCTAAAATCTCCCTTGTTGTCTCATACAGTCATTTAGTAAAGGTTTTTGAGTGTCTCTCACTGTAGTGATAAACTTAATTGTATTAGAGCTATAGAGGCAATGAGTTACTGAGCTCAACTATACCTGTAATTCACTACTGGAGAAAGTCTGTTAGAATAAGCAAAGTATATGAAGTTAAATGGCAAATTTTCTGTGACTAACAGAAATTAACTGCTTAATTTCATATACACACAGATACACTTTAGTTAAGGAGTTGGAATTGTCACCAATTTTTACTGAGCATTTTGTATATATAGATTCTGTACTAGGCAAAGTCCTTTTTTTTTAATCTTTTTTTTTTAAGATTAATTTATTTATACAAGCACTGGGTACAGTCAGAAGCACGGGAGGGTGAGAGAATTCACCAGAGCCAGAGGGGAGAGCAGAGCAGGCAGAAGGACCAAAGTACACTGCTGAGGGGAGCAGCGGGTAGCAGGAGAGGTCTGCACGCCATGTGGGACCCTCCTCCGGTGGCCAGGGGGCAGCTGGGGATCGAACCGGCACTGCAGAGGCTGCGGGCAGCTTCACAACCCAGTGCTCAACCGCTGCACCACCGGGGAGGCACAGGCAAAGTACTTTTGAAGACATGTTGGCTCCTTATAAAGTTGACATATTTTAATAATGTTAGATAAGAACATTCATAACACTTGCTGAACCTCAGGTTACTGTAATATTAGTACTTTTCACTTGTCTGGAAAATTATTCCTTCTGGACTTTAGCTCACCTAATGATTTCTTTCTGTCATTAGAAGCATACATTCCAATATCATTCACATTAAAGATTATTGCACAGATAATTTAGTAAATTTCCTTAAAATTGAACATTAAAAGAAAAGAAAGTGCAAGTGCTTTCTGGAATTTTATTTTCTGCTGGTCATTGATATCTTAACTATTTCATTTATTCAGCTAATATTTACTAAGCCCATGCTATATATACTGATCTAGTACTGATCTAGGCCCTGTGGCTATAGCAATGTATCTGAGATTTTCTTTTCTGGTTCATTTCTCTTTTGTGAAATGGGGGCAGAAATATGTGTAATATGTATTTGTATAATATATAATACAGTAAATAATAGAAGATAAATGCTAATAAGAAGGATAAAGTAGGGAAGAGATAAGAAGAAATACTAGGCATTTTGGGGTACAAAGTTATGTGTTATAAAAGGGTAGTAAGGGAAGGCTTCACGGAGAAAGTAGCATTTATCTAAAAACTTGAGGGGGTCAGAGGGTCAGCTAAGTAGATACAGGAAGAAGGGAGAGAAACAAAGCCTATTTACCTTGTACCTTAACTGAATATAGTTAACTGCTCCAAGGGTTAATTTCTGATGAACCCTCAACAGTTAATTAAATATTCAAGATTTCATGAGGCATGTAAGTATAGGCAGCAGTGACTGTAAGGGTGAGGGGTTGGAAAAGTATTGCAGTGATGTTCTGTTAAAAGCAAACAACCCTTCCAGAGATTCCCTTATCCTGAAGGCAAGGGGTTGAAGGGTAGTTTTCTCTGTCAATCCATCTTCACCTACATTTTTTTAAAAAGATTTATTTATTTATGCCTACAAGAGCTGGGGTGTAGGCCAGAGGTGCAGGGGTGTGTGTGAGAGCATTCACCAGTGACAGAGTCGGGAGCAGAACAGACAAATTGACTGAAATACACTGCTGAGGAGAACAGTGGGTGAGATAGGAGTGGTCTGCTGTGCCATGTGGGTAGCTCCCTGGCCAGGAATTGGAACTCATGCTGCAGTGGCTGCTGATAGCTTCATAGTGCTGAGACTTAACCCCTTGCGCCACCAGGAAGGCCCCATCTTCACCTATATTTTAAAATGAAACCATCAGTAACCTCTCACTATGAAATAACATTCAGAATACTTAATTTGACATCCTGTAGGTTCAGGAGAAATGGGCTGTGAGACAGGGATCCCTTATATATTATGGGGAGACAGAAAAGACTATAGAACTGGAAGGTAAATGGTGTGAGCTTAAAGTGTTTCGGGGTAGGGGATAGTTGCCTTCTTATTAGAACATCCCTTATTATTGTTTTCCAAGTCTTTTGATCTCTCTGCTCTGCCTATAGTTTGCTGGGGATGAGGCTTCTGCAAAGAAATTATAATTCAAGATACTAATTTTCCTCTTCTGCCCTCAGCATCTGTGAGCGGGTAACTCCCCGGCTATCGCATGCCAACTCAGCAGTGGTACTTTCAGCGGTAAAAGTTCTTATGAAATTTCTAGAGTTGTTACCCAAGGACTCTGACTACTACAATATGCTGCTGAAGAAGTTGGCCCCACCACTTGTCACTTTGCTGTCTGGGGAGCCAGAGGTGCAGTACGTTGCCCTGAGGAACATCAATCTAATTGTCCAGAAAAGGTTGGGAAAATTGAATTGGTGGTTAAACTGTAATTTTTAATTAAACTTAATATCAGTAAAAGACTTAAATTTTTTTTTAATTTTTGAAAATGAAAATGTTTTGTGACAGAGCAACTTGCCCCAAGGTCAAGAGGCTAAATTGGTTTTAGAGTGTTCCTGTAATAAATACTTAATGTTGCGAAAATTAATTTTCTAAAGGGTCTCCTAACAGTAAACTAGCTATTGCCTGCTTAATATAGTTCAAGTCATAGTTTAGAGCCAGATTGTTATTTCAGCACTTCTTGGCCATGTGTACCCTGAACCTTAAAAAAGGTAAAAAATAGTCTGCCAGCTGGGTCTGGATAAAGGAATATGAAGGAAGTTTGTGAGTTTCTTTTCTGGTGGGTTTGCAAGGAGAGAAGAGAGGCACAGATTAGATTTAATCTAAGCTCAGAAGGATATGTCAGTATATCCCTCACCTTCCTTATCTTGTACTTCTATGTACCACAGGCCTGAAATCTTGAAACAGGAAATCAAAGTCTTCTTTGTGAAGTACAATGATCCCATCTATGTTAAATTAGAGAAGCTGGACATCATGATTCGCTTGGCATCGCAAGCCAACATTGCTCAGGTCAGATTTTAAGTGCTCAAGTTTATAGTAACTTAGATCTTAAGGTCTGGCTTTCAGAAAAAAGGTAGACCATGAAATTGCTGTTTGAGAATTCTTTTTCATTCTTTCTTTTTTTGTCAGCATTGTTTGAGAATTCTTAAAGATTGTCAACTTCCTGAATTTTTAACAGGTTTTGGCAGAACTGAAGGAATATGCTACAGAGGTAGATGTTGACTTTGTTCGCAAAGCCGTGAGGGCCATTGGACGGTGTGCCATCAAGGTGGAGGCAAGTGTCCAATGATAGTTAATGACCACGTTACGGGATTCTGAGTGTTACCTGCATTCCTTCCTTTCTTTAAAATACATCATTGAAGTATAACAAAATAATAAAGCACATAGTTAAAATATTTTAAATATTTTAATGAAAGGCAGCTGTTCTTAGGAATAATTTTTTTTTAATTTTGTATTTTTTACATCATTGTTCATTTTTAAACAATATTTGCTTCCCCATACCCCCTCAGGTATAGTCCCCATAGAATTTTCTTCACCAGTGCACCATCACCATTGTCCTTGGGAATCATTTTTAACTCTTTTCTGTTTTTAGTTTTCTTTTGATTACTTCTACATCTCTAATTAATATGTTTGTGCTATTTACTGATTACCAATCATAGACATAATTTATTTCCTGCTAGGAGATAAGCAGCTTAGTTTGTATATCCCATCATCCTACTTCTCTTATTTACCACTGTAGTTTATCATGAGGTTTTTTTTCTTACTATACTGAGATAATAGGCCTTTATTTTTGTTTTATCAACTATAGACTTGCAAAACTTGCTCTCCATGTTATGTCTGTAAATATGTAGGACCAAAATACAAAAATAATAAATAACAACTGACTTCAGTACAATTATTTCAAATACAAATAATTATATTTACTTTCTCATAAAGACTTGTTTTTTTCTAGAGCTTCTATAATGACCATTCTTTTTTTCTTGCATTGTGTGTCTTCTTTGCACTCCATCTTCTTTCATCCTTTTGGAGCATAATACCACATCTCTAAACCTCTTTTCTTTGTACACCCTTCTCTTTTCCAGTCTTCTGTCCTCTTGCTTAAATCTGGCTGATTGCTCTCTTAGACTTTGGACAGCCTTCATTCCATACAGTCTTGTCTTTTTTGCCTTTTCTTGTTATTGCTACTTTTTTCATAGTATTCCTTTGTGAGTGTGCGTGTGTTTGTGTGTGTCGGGGGTGGGAGGTGTTTGCAATAGCCTCTTCTCTGGGGATATGAAGTACAAATCATTACAATTTTTTGTTTCTGCAGTTTGAATTTAATTTTCTGGAGTATCATCTGGTGATGGTTTTATATACAGTTTTATTTAACTGTCATATGCACCATGGATAGAAGCACATTTATATTTAAGAGTGAGATAACAGAAAAGTTGATAGGACTCTTCTGTGTACATAGACAGCTCTCTGCTTTAGGGCAGGGAGTTAATTTTTCCTTAGAAGTCCTCTTGAATATTCTCTCTATTGTCTTAGAAGACAGATTGGTTTCTAGCTTATTTGCAGCCTTCCCCTCTCTCTTACGGACTACAGCTTACATTGCCCTGTTCTGTCACCAGTCCACCATTTTTTCTCATTCAGATATGTTTTGAAATTGGTGATGACATCTATTCACTCCATATTTATTCTTGCTCCATGACTACATGCAATTCTGTTTAGTCAAGAGGGTTGAACCATATGACTTCTCAAGGATAATAAAATTGCATTGACCAATACTATATGGGAACAAAAGGAAACATATGCTATGTTTAAGAAGTTGGTGATGGCCAAGTTCCTAATAGACCTTCCTTGTTTTTATTCAAGTCGGCACAGCTTCATGAAGTTACCATTGATAAAGCATTTAGTAGACTTCTTTTAGTGAGAAGTCAATCTGGGTTCTGCTAGCTCAGTTTCACTCATGCGTGAACTCCAGATAAAGGCCTCCTTCCTTGGCTTATTCTTCTATTATTTTTTCCTCCTACTTCGGCTTATCTTTTTTCTTATTTCTATTCTCCTGGCTATCCAGGATGATTCTTTTCATTTGAACTGACTCATCTATGGGTATAATTTGGGGCTATCTGTATCTTCTGTAATCTACATTGCATAGCCCAGGCTTCATGTATCTTGGTCAAATTAAGTGCCTGATCTTTGCTTTTAGTTTAGTTGATGCACCTATATGTTTCAAATTTTTTTTTTATATTACTGAGTAGATCATCTGATTTTTCACTTTTATCTCTTTGCAGCAATCTGCAGAACGTTGTGTAAGCACATTGCTTGATCTCATCCAGACCAAAGTAAATTATGTGGTCCAAGAGGCGATTGTTGTCATCAGGGACATCTTCCGAAAATACCCCAACAAGTACGTGGAAATATTTTACCCTTCTTCAGAACATTCATATAATGTTTAAATAATGCACTTTGAAACTGGCAAAGTAAAAGTTATTTTTTGTAATGTAACCGGTCATAGTAGGATACTTTACTAACAATCGTAAACATAAAACTTGGTTTAGCAACCTGGATTGTTGTTTTTTCATGATTATTTTCTTGTATCATTAATTTTTGGACAGTATTTGATTTTTTTTCCCTCAGGTGCAGTCCCCGTAGCTTTACCACTGCCATCTGTGATCCGTCACCACAGTCCGTTTGTTCTTCCTTCCCCTGTTTTGACTCCTCTTTCACCTTGTCCCCTGCTCTATGTCTCAGATTTATTGTCAGATTGCAAGTTTTGTCTTTTTCCTGATCCTTTGTAAAAACCTGAGTTTCACTCTATTACTTTCAGAAGGATAGAAACTCTGTGTGAGAATGCACGGTATTGGCATGTATTAAAGTTAATTTAAGGGGCCTCCCCGGTGGCGCAGTGGTTGAGCGCCATGTTATGAAGCTGCCCGCAGCCTCTGCAGTGCCAGTTGATCCCTGGCTGCCGGGCGAGGGTCCCACATGGTTCGCAGACCTCTCCTGCCGCCCGCTGCTCCCCTCAGCAGTGTACTTCATCACTCTGCCTGTTCTGCTCTCCGCTCTGGCTCTGGTGAATTCTCTCACCCTTCTGTGCCTCTGACTGTACCCAGTGCTTGTATGTATGTATGTATGTATGTATGTATGTATGTATGTATAAATAAATAAATAAATAAATAAATCTATCTTTAAAAAAAAATAAAGTTAATTTAACCAGATTTGTTGGTGGTGGATCCCCCATATATTCCAGGCATAAACTCAGTTTGCACCTGTTACCAGGCATAATTAATTATTGTGCCCCTTTTCTCTCTCAGAAATGTTTCAGTTTGGATGCTATTTTATGGCAGCTCTATCATAAAGGCTAGGAAGGTGACAGCTACACTGTTCACTTTGTATGTTAGTCATTACTTTTTAGAAAATTGTAGAACATGTAAAAATAAATTGCTAGTTTCTGTCCTTTTTTGAAGTATTGTAGCTGCTCCCATGAACATAAACTAACTCTACATTTTTTGCTCCATTGATTTTTCACATTGAGGTCTCTTAGTTTGTGAAACAAAAATACTTTTTTCAGATTTGATTTTGAAAGCAAGAATTAGGTATCTGAAAGAATGAAATAAGAGCAGCTCTTATAAACATCCTAAATCTCATTTTGCTTTATAATCATAGAAATTTCTTATGTTGAAGCTTTTGATTCATTTTTAAAGGTAATATTGAATTAAGAGATTTGCAGTAAGTTAGCTTAGAGGTGGCTTGAAAATTAGAAGAACTTTTAACAAGATTTTTTTTTTTTTTTTATTTTTCTATAGAGGCATGTTTTATTTATTTATTTATTTGCTTGTTTGTTTGTTTTGTTTATACAAGCACTGGGTACAGTCAGAAGCGCGGGAGGGTGAGAGAATTCACCAGAGCCAGAGCGGGGAGCAGAGCAGGCAGAAGGACCGAAGCACACTGCTGAGGGGAGCAGCGGGCGGCAGGAGAGGTCTGCGCACCATGCGGGACCCTCCTCCGGTGGCCGGGGAGCAGCCGGGGATCGAACCGGCGCTGCAGAGGCCGCGGGCAGCTTCGCAACCCAGCGCTCAACCGCTGCGCCACCGGGGAGGCCCACTTTTAACAAGATTTATTAAGCATTTTGCATGTATATATTTATTTTACATTTAAAAAATGGTGTTTTTGGGAAAAGGACCATTTACTTTTACTACTCTCTCAGAAAAGAGGAGAGTTGGGTTTTTTAAGGCAGGAAGTATTTATCTTAATGTGATTAGTCAGAGAAATGTGTCCCATTTCTGGTTTATATTAATAGGGGGTTATGATGGCTTAATTTTAGGAAAGAACTATCAAGTATCTGGTTTAATCAGTGGAAGTAGGGCACATAAGCATGCTATTTAGTTGTCTACATCTAATTTTTTATACAGTGTCATTCTGAAGCTACACCAGCCATGGAGATCCATTAAACATGGTAAAAATGAGAGCACTATATAGACCTGTAAAAATAAAAATAAAAATTTGAATTGTTTCTTTAAAGAATGTAGTCATCAGTGTGGCTGTCTTGGGGCATAGACATGAAGAACTGTATAAAAAGCAGAGATTGTAGATTAAGTGACAAAGTTACTGTTTATAGTCTGGATGATGTCTTAACTCCATTTTCCTAAAAAAAAAAAAAAGGCATATCAATTCCTCTATCACTAAGGCAAAATGGAATGGTAGATAGGAAAATTCTGTGATTTAGAAAGATAAGATTTTTACAAAATAAGGTAGTGGTATTATCTTACACCACAGGTTTAATTTTTCTTTGTGAAAAGAATATCTGTTCAATTTTATTACGGTTTAAAGTTCTAGTTATTAAAACATAATTGAAGGGAATTTTAAGACATTTATAATCTCCTGATTTAAAGCCTCTACATACTCTTTTTTTTTAAAGATTTATTTTATTTATTTATGCATACCATAACTGGGGTATAGGCCAGAGGAGAGGAGGGTTGAGGGGATTCACCAGAGACAGAATGGGCAGCAGAGTAGGGGGGATCTACTGAAATACACTTCTGAGGGGGGCATAGGCGAGACAGGAGAGGTCTGCTCCGACTTGGAACGCATGCAGAAATCATGCGCAGTGGTTGGTGATAGCTTGATAGTGCTGAGACTTTAACCCCTGCATCACCAGAGAGGCCCTAAAGCCTTCTCTACATACTCTTGACTCAAAAATCTTTATAGTTTGATAGTTTGGTTTAGGGTACTTTGTGGTTTTTGCCTTTAGACTTCATTATTAAATGTAGTTCTTAGTTTTGCCCTCAGTAACTATAGTCCATTTTGTTTTATCAGGTATGAAAGTATCATTGCCACCCTGTGTGAGAACTTAGATTCACTGGATGAGCCAGATGCTCGTGCTGCTATGATTTGGATCGTGGGAGAATATGCTGAAAGAATTGATAATGCAGATGAGTTACTAGAGAGCTTCCTGGAGGGTTTTCATGATGAAAGCACCCAAGTAAGTTCTTAGTATATCCTATGTTCTAGATGATCTTTTGGGAAATATTTCAGGGAATGTATAGGGTAGGTAGTTTTGTATGTGTAAATTTGTGTGTGTGTGTGTGTGTGTGTGTGTAGAGAGAGAGAGAGCTATAGATACAGTATGTTCCTTTTTCTCCTGGAAGGAATGACCTGTCAGTTAAGTTGATTTCTGGTAGAACAAGCCTGCGTAATGTAGACCAGTGGTTCTCATGCTTTGACCCTTAGAAACATCTGAAGAGCTTGTTAAAGGTTCCTGGACCCCATCCCTAGTTTTTGACTCAGTAAATATGAGATGTGCCTAAACATCTGCATTTCTTACATGGTTCAGGGTGATGCTGCTGCTGCTGTGCCCCTCCTGTTACTCCTCTAGAACCATACTGACAAGTACTAGCTTAAAGTAGTTGTTATCACTTTTTAATTTAAATTTTCTCTTATCCAAGGATGATTACATATTTCTGTTAGTGATGGCTGTGACTCATTACAGCAAGGATTTTCTTTTCTTTTTTTTTTTTTTAAGATTTATTTATTGGGCCTCCCCAGTGGTGTCGCGATTGAGCGCTGGGTTACGAAGCTGCCTGCAGCCTCTGGAGCGCTGGTTCAATCCCCAGCCACCGGGCAAGGGTCCCACATGGTGCACAGACCTCTCCTGCCGCGCCCGCTGCTCCCCTCAGCAGTGTGTTTCCTCAGTCTGCCTGTTCTGTTCCCCGCTCTGGCTCTGGTGAATTCTCTCACCCTCCAGCGCTTCTGACTGTACCCAGTGCTTGTATAAATAAATAAATCTTTAAAAAAAAAAAGATTTATTTAATTATTTATACAAGAACCTGGGTACAGGCCAGATGCATGGAGGATGAGAGGATTCACCAGAGACAGAGTGGGGGACAGAACAGGCAGACTGACGAAATGCACTGCTGAGGGGACCAGTGGGCGCAACAGGAGAGGTCTGCTGCGCCATGTGGGATCCTCACCAGCTGGCCGGAATTGAACTGGTGCTGCAGAGGCTGCAGACAGCTTCACAGGGCAGTGCTCAACTGCCTGTGCCACAAGGGGAGGCCCTATAGCAAGGATTTTCAAGTGGGACTGGCGTACAGGCTGGCATGTGCAGTCAGTAAAGATTCTTTCTGGATGGCTAGGTTCTATCCATCTTTTATCTCTCTTTAACAAAGATGAGAGACCTGCCCTTAAAGCCATGGACCCAGAGAAGCAGAAATTTATTAAACCCTTCTCCCCTGGTATGTGTACTTGCTGCAAATTGAAGTTCATGTATGTAATGCAACACATACAGGCAACAAAGAACACATATAAGCCAATAGCTTTGTGGTTCTGTGTCCTACTCTTCATTGCGATGATCTGGCATAACTACTATTTTAGCTTTTACCCCAAGAGCTAAAAGATGATTCCCTAATTTTCCTGAGGTTAGTGCTTTTGTTGGAAGTAAATAATAAAGTATTTGGTCAGGATTCAATTAGCTTATTGCTGTCAATATGTTAGCATATACTTTAAGAAAATATAGGTAATAATCTGGCCCAGAAACAAATACTATTTTGATACCAAAGATGCAGTTCGAGAGTAGGAGGCTGTAGTGAGTTTTTAGTTGATAAATACCTTTAAATGCTATTATTGATATTAACTAGTTTTAAGCCTTAGTCTCTTAAAGTCAGAAAGACCATATGGTAATTCATAGTTGGAGAAATGCCATTTTGGAGATGATGGCATTGAAAAATCTAAATGCTTTTCACCTTATCTACTAAATTGTGTCTAGGTGCAGCTCACTCTACTTACTGCCATAGTAAAGCTGTTTCTCAAGAAACCATCAGAAACACAAGAACTGGTACAGCAGGTCTTGAGTTTGGCAACACAGGTAAGAAAACTGAGAAAAGTGAGGGGTTTATTTTGTTTTAAACGGTAGGAAATTTTGAAACACTTCCCAAGAAGGTTCATTTGGGGAGGTTTTAATTGGAAGAAGTGCAGCCTTTAGATCATGTTGAAATACAGAAGGTATCTCATTTCACTGAATTTGTAAATGGTTTTATGACTTTAAAATGAATCGGCTTATGCCAGCTTTCACGATAATTTGTGAAAATTAACTTAAATTCTTTAGTGTTAATGAAGGACATACTTCTGTAAAAGTGACATTGATTCTCATGCCTCCTTCTGGGTGACTTTAAGTTCAGCTTTCAAATGAAAGTAACAAATATGGTAGATGCCTCAACAAAGTTTTCATGTATTGTTTTGCCATCTAGAGTGGTTGCTTTTCTCTTTAAATAATTTTAAAGTGCTATGGCTCTGTCTTTATTATTTGGTAGTTTTGATCTCCCTAGGGTGGTTTCTAATTTTAGGAATTAGGCAACTGGGCTTAAAAGTTAGGTCACCATTTTAGATAAAAAGTCAGAAATCAAAGTAATTATTTTTGTCTAGTAATGTTCTTAACTGGATTTGAGAATAGGCTAGCTTTAGCAGCCAGTCTGATCTAGATAATCAGTTTACCATTTTTCTCTCTTATTTTAAAGATTGATTTATTTAGGCATACAAGAACTGGGGTGTAGGCCAGAGATGGGGGTGGGTGGGTGAGAGGATTCACCAGAGACAGAGTGGGGAACAGAACAGGTAGATTGACTGAAATACACTGCTGAGGGGAGCAGCAGGTGAGACCAGAGAGGTCTGCTGCTGCACCATGTGGGTCATATCCCTGCCCGGGAATCTAACTCATGCTGCAGTAGCTGCGCATTGCTTCATAGTGCTGACGCGTAACCCCTTGCACCACCAGGGAGGCCCTTCTCTTTTACTTCTTTATATTTGAAGTCCCTTTTTAGTACTTTGCCTAGTTCTGAGCTGTCCTTTCCTGTTTTTAGTCTTATGTTTTTTTTTTTAATTTATGAGTCTTTGAATTGTTTTTAAAACTTCCCTTTAAAAAGTATCTTTTTTTGCAATTTTCTTAACCACCAATTCATTGCTTACGTATTGTATTTAACTGAGCATTGTAAACTTCCTGGTGTACACTAGTGTTAAGATGGATTTAAAGTAATTTTCTAAAGAGAGTTTTGGCCTTGTTTTCTCTGCTCACTTCTAAATAAATAATCAAGTAGGTGTCCTTGGCAAATTCCACTGTTTTCACAAGTTCTTTATGTCTCCATGTGTCTGTTCTTAACAGGTAGCATTAGAGAGAGTGAATTTTGATTTGATTTGGTTTTGCCTGCTTATCAAGAGTTCAAACTCAATCTTATTACCTCCCAGCATTTATCAATACTCAATGTTTATCAAAAATTGCCTGAGATACAGCATTCAAAAAAGATAAACACATGCAATTTGCAGTAACATGGATGGCGCTGGAAGGGATCATGCTCAGCGAAATAAGCCAGAAAGAAAAAGAAAAATACCGGATGGTCTCACTCATAGCAGGAATCTAGAAAACTTAAATAAGGGACCAGGAAAATGAATAACTATAAGAAAGTGAAAATCAAAATCAACAAAAAACTATGAACCAGAGACACTCTATGGGGGGTGGAGGGCGGGGAGGGGAGGGATTGGGGTCAAAATGAGGGGATTACAATTGTATGGGGAATATAAAAATAAAATTTATTATTTAAAAAAAAATTGCCTGAGATAAAGTGTTAGGGAGTATTGCTGAAAGGACTCTAGATATTTAAAATTCACCTCTGAATCAAGCCAGATTAGCAAAGAGCTGTATATCTAGATTGCATTGTATTTCACCCCTAATAGAATTGCTTTTATTGAATTACATAGATACCACCAACCTACAGTAAGGGTTTTCATAAGAAACTGCCTTATTTGTATATGTCATTGAAGTCATTTATTTCATGACATATTTTCTTTTTTAAGATTTATTTATACAAGAGGGGCCTCCCCCGTGGTGCATCGGTTGAGCCCTGGGTTGTGAAGCTGCCCACAGCCTCTGCAGCGCCAGTTCGATCCCCGGCCATCGGTGAGGGTCCCACATGGCGCGCAGACCTCTCCTGCCTCCCACTAATCCCCTCAGCAGTGTATTTCGTCAGTCTGTCTGTTTGCTCCTTGCTCTGGCTCTGGTGAATTCTCTCACTCTCTCACGCTTCTGACTGTACCCAGTACTTGTATAAATAAAAAAATAAATCTTTAAAAAAAAAAGATTTATTTATACAAGAACTGGGGTAGATACAGGCCAGAGGCGCGAGAGGGTGAGAGGATTCACCAGAGACAGAGCGGGGAAAAGAACAGGCAGACAGACCAAAAACACTGCTGAGGGGAGCAGTGGGAGAGGCAGGAGAAGTCTGCCACGCATTGTGGGTATCTCCCTGGCCAGCCAGGAATCGAACCTGTGCTGCAGAGGCTGCAGACAGCTTCACAGAGCAGCGCTCAACCCACTGTGCCACCAGGGAGGCCCATGACATATTTTCTTAATGAGACTCTACCAAACAAATAAATCCTAACTAGTTTTGAATTCTCCTACACATGGATTTATAGTTAACTGTCCTTTCTGGATGACTTACCTAACTGGATTTCTTTTTCATGCCAGTTGTTTAGAACTTTAAAATCAAATTTAATTTTCTGTAGAAAGTGGGTATATCATTGTGGCATGCATTTTTCTGCCACTGTAGAAATTTATGCACTGCAACCTTTGATGCATTTTGCAAACTTTGCTAAATCCTTTCTTAGACTAGGACAGGATATAAATAAAATATCAGACATTCCCAATTCCAGACTTTTCAGTATAGATTCTTAATGATATATATTTTGTGCCTACTGTGTACCAGGCATTCCAGTAATTACATATTAATTCAATACCAGTAAGTGCTAATACTGTTGTTATTCCTATTTTATAGATGAGGAAACAGACTAACAGGGCCTGTTAATATGGACTGGAGCTGGAACTGAAACCTAGGTTGTCTGGCTCTAGAGTCTTTGCCCTTAGCCACTATACTAAGCTGCGTCTTTAGTCTGAAAGTTAAAAATGACTTCAAGAGTGTACATTCCCTGCCTGAAACAATATATTGCATAGGCCTGTAGTGAATTTACTAGTTTTTAAGATCATTGTATAGATGCTTATTTAATATTTGGATATAAATAATTATTTTTATGGTGTTATATTTTTATTGAGGTAAATTGGTTTACAACGTTGTAGGGACTTAGGGATATAGGTTCATACCTCCTCTTATGTATTTTATATTACACCAAGCCCACCAAAGCACCCATAATCCTGTATTGCAATCTGTTTGCTCCCCACCCTCTAGGATCCCCCTCTTATGGGCTGAATTTTATGCTCAGATTTCTGGGATTTGTTTTGGTTTAGTTTTGCCTATTCCTTTGTTTTATATTTATTTATATATTCCTTCTTTTATATTTCACATATGAATAAAAATCTACGACTTGTCCTTCTCCTTCTGAAATTTCACTTTGCATAATCCCCTCCTGTTTCATCCATGTTGTTGCAAATGGCATATTTTCTTCTTTTTTTATTTTGTGTGTGTGGGAAGGGTGGGTTTTTTTTTTTTGAGGTAGCATTTTTTTTTAAAGATTTATTTATTTATGCATACAAGAACTGGGGTGTAGGCCAGAGGTACAGGGGGTTGAGAGGATTCACCAGAGACAGAGTGGGGAGCAGAACAGGCAGATTTGCTGAAATACACTGCTGAGGGGAGCAGCAGGGAGACAGGAGAGGTCTTCTCCGTCTTGTGGGTCAGCTCCCTGGCCAGGGATCTGGGATTGAACTCATGGCTGGCTATAGCTTGATAGCACTGAGACTTTAACCCCTATGCCACCAGGGTGTCCCTTTTTTGTTTTGTTTTTGAGGTAGCATTAGTCCTCCGCCATAGTCCACTGAGCCCCCTCCCCCTCCTCCTCTACTAGCCTCAATTCTAAAGTGAATTTTTTAGTCTGTTATTTTTTTATTTTATCTGAGTCTTTGTTTTGTAGCTCTAAATTCCACATGTAAATTATAAATTATTAAGTGATTTCTCCAGGCTTATTTTCTTTCCAATTGATGTGATCTGAGGAATTATAAATGAGTAAGCACATTTATATAAGTCTTTTCCACTGGAAGTTTGCTCTGGGATTTTTTTCCTCAAGTTTATGAAATACGAACCTAGTATTATGGTGGTGGAGGGGTTAAAGTCTCAGCACTGTCAGGCTATCCCCAGCCACTGTGGCATATGAGTTGGAGTCCCAGCCAGGGAGCTAATCCACATGGTACAGCAGACCTCTCCTATCTCACTGGCTGCTCCCCTCAGCAGTGTATTTCAGTAGGTCTGCCTGTTCTGCTCCCCACTCTGTCTTCGGTGAATCCTCTTACCCCTCCTACCCGCCCGGCACCTCTGTCCTACACCCCCATTCTTCTATGCATAAATAAAAATAAATTTTTTTTAAAAAGAACCTAATATTATGGCTAATAAGTACCAATTTAAGTCGAGGGTAATGCAATCTACTTGTATTAATTTGGTATGGGTTTCTATGTCTGCCATATTCACTGGTCTAATAAGACATGATTGAGCAAATTTCTTTTTCATACTGCTGTTCTTCTGTCTTTATAGTAGAGTTAATGCGTTCTTTACATGTGCTAAGAATTAAATAACTATATATGAAATCTTTGTGCTTTTAATTTTAAATAAAATGGTGGTACAAAGGTATGTTTATTTATAAATGTGAGACCACCATTATCAAAATCACCTGTGCTGCTTGTTAAAAATAAAAATTCCTTTTTTTTAAAAGATTTTTATTTATTTATGCATACAAGAACTGGGGTACAGGCCAGAGGTGCGGGGAGAAAGCTGCACTTCTGACGTGATGAATCCGAATATCTTGCTTTGGCACAGATTTTGCAGGAATATGCGCTTTTTGTGCCTTTACTGGTATGTCAAAAATGTTGATGCGCATTATAGTTTAAATCACTGTTCTAGAACTTGCCTAGTAGGGTTGTCTTGGCAGTTCTCAAATTTTCTTGAGATCCTGACGAAGGCCTAGCAATACAGTAGATCCAAAACCAAATTTTCTGAATCACCAAACACTTAAGAATTTAACTTTTACCAGTTTAAACTTTTTTTCCTTTTTCCAATTTCCCTTTGAATTTGAGTCTTAGGACTAACCCATTTCAGTTTATATTTAAACTCCTTAAAACATTTGAGATTATAGAATTAAGAGTTTTATAACTATATTGAGTCTATATAAAATCTTCTTAGTAGTTAACTCTGCATAAACCACTACTGCATTTATTACGTTGATAATAAATCAACAGCTTGGGTTTCAGTATGGAGAAAAGTTCCATTTAAACCTTCCTGCCTTTGATTTTCATTAGGATTCTGATAATCCTGACCTTCGAGATCGAGGCTATATTTATTGGCGCCTTCTCTCAACGGACCCTGTCACAGCCAAAGAAGTAGTCTTGTCTGAGAAGCCACTGATCTCTGAGGAGACTGATCTGATTGAACCAACTCTGCTGGATGAGCTAATCTGCCACATTGGTTCCTTGGCCTCTGTGTACCATAAGCCTCCGAATGCTTTTGTGGAAGGAAGTCATGGAATACATCGCAAACACTTGCCAATACATCATGGAAGGTAAGCAGGTGACCTCGGATTGAGGGAGAAGTGAATGTGTTTAGACAGAGTTGGTCTTCCTTATATCTTCTTAGCCTGAAAAAGAACTTGCTGTGATTTTTTAAAAAATATTTATTTATTTATTTATACAAGCACTGGGTACAGTCAAAAGCGCGAGAGGGTGAGAGAATTCACCAGAGCCAGAGCAGGGAGCAGAACAGGCAGAAGGACTGAAGTACACTGCTGAGGGGAGCAGCGGGCGGCAGGAGAGGTCTGCACGCCATGTGGAACCCTTGCCCGGTGGCCAGGGATTGAACTGGCGCTGCAGAGGCTGCGGGCAGCTTCTCAAGCCAGCGCTCAACCGCTGCGCCACCGGGGAGGCCCGCTGTGATTTTTTTGCAAGTGTGCTACCCTAGGGACTTCATCTGAATATCAGTGATCCCAGACACAATAGGCCCCTCTGTATTCTAATCTAGGAGTAGGTAAGATTATGACTTCAGAAAATTGTGAAGACTTTCTAAATTTACAACCTTTGAAAGATGCTTAAGTCTACAGTATGAAAAAACTTGAAATCTTATATGTACATTTTGCTATCTTTGTCCTTTGCTATAACTTTCATTGAAACTTATGGCTAATGTTAGAAAATAAAGCTTCTCTTAAGTTGTAAAGAGAAGCTTCTCTTATGCTGGCTGTTACTGAAAAAGGTATAGGATATTTAATAAAAACAACCTAAATTCTATGTAGATGTAGTTTTTTCAGTTATCTGTACCCTTTTTAGCAGATTAAATTGATTGTATCAGTAAGAAATTCGCTTATAAATAGGTACTCAGGTAACAGAACTCTTGCTATAAAGCTTAAAATTTTATTTTGAGAAGAGCAGCACTAGTATAAACTTTTTTTTTCTTTTAAAGATTTTTTTTTTGTACATAGAAGAACTAAGGTGTAGGGCAGAGGTGCAGGGTAAGGGTGAGAGGATTCAGAGACAGTGGGGAGCAGAACAGGTTGATCAGCTGAAATACACTGCTGAGGGGAGCAGCGGGTGAGACAGGAGAGGTCTGCTGCACCATGTGGGATAGCTCCCTGGCTAGGGATGGAACCCATCCCTGCACTGGCTGGTAATAGCTTGATAGCACTGAGACTTTAACCCTTGTGCCACCAGGGAGGCCCCATATAAACTCTTCACAGTAAGTATCTTGGAATCTTTATAGAATCTCCTTCCTTCATTAAACATAATAAACCTTAAATCTAAGTAGAATTTGATCTCAGAGTGGCTAGATCAGTTGCATTTCCATTAATGAGTGTCTGATACCATTATCTAATATATATTGTTATTTAAATGGGTTATGAATTTATGTAGAATTTATTGCCTTACAAATTGGTATATCATCACTTTGGGTTCTATTTAGACAGACTGCAGGCACGAATAAACAAAAAGAGAGGGCAATACCCAAGAAAACTATTAGTTATCATTTATTAGTCTTTAATTGAATTTTCAGTTTTAGGACAAGAGCTGTGGTTTTCAACCCAAAGAGCTTTGACTTCATAAGGATTAGGCTCTGTAATAAATTAGGGTATTTCTCCTTGTGGGCAAACACATAATAACATTGTCTACATGTGACCACTTAACTTTTAAGTACATCTCCCAGTCTATGCTTCTAGTTTTGATAATAGATAGGAATTTTCTGTTTAATTTGCCTCTGTAACCATAATTATTTGCCTTTAAGTTACCTTTCTCCTGATAACTTTTGACTCTCAAATGGGAGGGGTGGGGGAATAAAACAAACAACAAACAAAATAGCCCCTTTTACAATACAAGGAAAGAATATTTAAACTAAAAAGAACACAATCTCTTACATAAAGTCTTTGATGAATAGCCTTTAATTTGTTACCTTTGCAATTCCTTATGTGATTCCTTTTAGGATAATTGGTGCTGTTTTTGTTTTTAAAGGAAGCGCAAATGCAGAAAAATGCATTTTGAAATAAATAAGGAGAATATATTGTACCAAAAGGCATGTCCATAATAGCTCTGGCATTACCTAGGTCTTTCTGCAGCATAAGGTTAATGAGTCATATGTCTTTGTCATTAAATACAGCAACACTTTAACACCTTGTTCTGTCCCTTCTAGAGGTTTAAAAATGCTTATTTCACTAGATCTTTAAAAATTACTTAGGAAAAGGGGAAGTGCTTTTACTTGAGTATTGCTTACTGTAATACTTGTCAGCTGCTCTCTGGGGGTGAGGTGGTAAATAGTTGTCTAATTTAGAAAAGTCTCACCTTTTAAAAATACTGCTTTGATGACAATTATGTAATTATTTCCCATTAGTTCACAATGGAAAACACTTTCATAATGATTTACCATGTTCTTAAGTTGCAGAAACTATGGCATCATTTATTTTTTTATCTAACTCACTTTAATCTCTCAATACTCTTCATTGTAAAGGAACTATGTGCATTGTTACCTATTCTTCCTTCTGTTTAGAGTTTTAATATATGTTCTACCAATTTGCTAAATGACATATGTCATAAGATAATGAATTTCATGTGCAGAGAATAAATAGCCTTACTGAAGATTTCATCATTTCTCCTTTGACTTCGAATAGTAACTTTTGGCTGTGTTTTCCCCCATCCCTCATCTTAGATACTTCTCATCTTGGCTTCCTTGACACTTTCCTCCCAAGACTTCTTTCTTAGATTGTTTTTCTCTCTCTGTTCCTTGCAGTTCTGTGTTCATTCAATTGCTGATCAATAATCTTGGTTGTAATATCAGGCTCTGAAACTCTTTTTGTGTTTCTTTATATATTCCCTTCGGGACTTTTTCTAGTAACCACAGTCACCACTGATATATTACCAGGTTTTACAGTTCACACCATGTTTTCATTTGATCCGCCCTAAAATAGAACCCTGTGTTTTGGTTATCATTTTATTGATAATGGACCCTTTGTCTCAGAGAAGTTACCTCTTGTTTAAGAGCATGCAAGTGGTAATTAGTGGAACCAAGCTTTATCTTAGTTGTCTCATTTTAGACTCCCTCTTACCACCACACATGTTACTCTGGTGGTTTCATCAGCGATATGTGTATGAATTTCTTCCCTGGTTTACTTTTCTGATACCAGAATTGGAAATGGTGTATTTTTCCTATCATTCCTCCAGATTTCTCTAATTATAAGGGTTATCACTAGTCTTTTGCGTCCTAGGTTTTTTTTCCCATTTATTCTCTTTAGTTTCATTCTTATTCTCCTTTGTCTTTTATGTTCAAATGTTGTTAAAACTTACATTGAGGTTTTTTGTTTTTCAAGGAAACAATTGTATATATTAATGGGATTAATCTTTAATGAGTGTCTTGTACCATTGTCTGATATATAATGTTATTTAAGTGGGTTATTTTGTTAAAGTTTATCGAAGATCACTTTTGCTTTTTTCCTTAAATATTTGGAAGAATTCATAGTGAAACTATCTGAGCCTCAAACTTTATGGGAATTTTTCCCCATTTTCAAATTAATAGATCATTTGTAATAAGCTTAGTTTAAGAGTTCTAGTCCCCCAGTCATTTACAGTAGAGTACTTAAAATAATCTTAGTATTGAGTGTACTAATTTTTTTTAAAGATTTATTTATTTATGCATACAAGAACTGGGATACAGGCCGGAGGTGCAGGGGGTGAGAGAATTCACCAGAGACAGAGCGGGGAACACAACAGGCAGACTGACGAAATACACTGGTGAGGGGAGCAGCGGGTGAGACAGGAGAGGTCTGCTGTGCCATGTGGGTCACCTCCCTGGCCGGGGATAGAACTGGTGCTGCAGATTGCTTCATAGTGCTGTGCTTAACCCCTTGCGCCATGAGGGAGGCTCTGAGCGTACTAATCTTTAGTGTATAGCTTGGTAGGTTTTTACATATGTATATACACATATAACCACTACCTTGATCAGATAAAGGATATTTCCAGCACCCCAAAAATTTTTTTCATGCCCCTTTACTGTTATCCACCCTTCAGAGATAACCACTTTATTGACTTCTTTCACTATGGATTAGTTTTGCTTTCTTGAATTTCATGTAAATGAAACCATAGAGTATATACTCTTCTGTATCTGGTTTCTTTTGCTCAGTATAATTCCTGTTAGACAAATCTGTGTTGTGTTATCGGTTATTTGTTTCTATTAGTAGATGGTATACCATTGCCTGGATATGCCACAATTTATATCTTCCCCTGTTGATGTATCTTTGGGTTGCTTCCAATTTGGGGCCTTTTGTGGTTAAAGCTGCCCTGAATATTCTTGGACATGTATTTAGGTACAGAATTGTTGAATAGGTGTATAATTGTTGAGAAGATTGTATTTAGCTGTAGAAGACACTGCTAGTTTTTGCAAGTGTTTATATCAATGCACAACCCTTCCAGCAATGTTTAAGAATTCTAGGTGATCCATATCCTCAGTAGCAATGGGTTTTTAAAATCATTTTAATTTTAACCATTCTGATAATTGTATAGTGGTATCACTTTATGTTTTAATTTGCATTTTCCTGGTGAGTAAAGCTTCTAAGTACCTTTTCATGTTTATACATAGCAAACATATTTTGTGATGTGCCTATTCAAGTTTTTTCCTTATTTTTTAGTTAGTTGTCTTTTCTTTTTTTTTTTTTTTTTTTTTTTTTTTTTATAGAGGCATGCTTTATTTATTTGTTTGCTGGTTTCTTTGATTGTTTTGTTTATACATGCACTGGGTACAGTCAGAAGCGCGGGAGGGCGAGAGAATTCACCAGAGCCAGAGCGGGGAGCAGAGCAGGCAGAAGGACCGAAGTACACTGCTGAGGGGAGCAGCGGGCGGCAGGAGAGGTCTGCGCGCCATGTGGGACCCTCCTCCGGTGGCCGGGGAGCAGCGGGGGATCGAACCGGCGCCGCAGAGGCCGCGCGCAGCTTCGCAACCCAGCGCTCAACCGCTGCGCCACCGGGGAGGCCCCAGTTAGTTGTCTTTTCTTTGTAGGAATTTTTTATATATAAGTCTTTTGTCAGATATATGTATTGTGAATATCTTTTCCCAGTCTGTGGAGAATACCTTCTCTGACTTTTCAATTGATTGTTTCACTTGAAGAGATGTTCTTAATTTTTTTTTAGAGATTTATTTATTTATGCATACAGGAACTGGGGTACAGGCCAGAGATGCAGGGAGTGAGAAGATTCACCAGAGACAGAATGGGGAACAGAACAGGCAGATTGACTGAAATACACTGCTGAGGGAAGCAGCGGGCAAGTCAGGAGAGGTCTGCTGTGCCTGTTCTTAATTTTAATGAAGTGCAATTCATTCATTTTTTTTTATTTTATGGTTTTGTTTTGTTGTTTTTTTTGTAGAAACTTTTGTTTGCTCCAAGGTCTAGGTGTCCTAGGTTCTTTTCAAGGTATTTACTCTTAACATTTGTGTCTGATTTAATCTCTTAATTTTCATTTTGAGGTGTAGGGGTCAAGGCTCACTTTCCCCCATACTGCTGTCCAGTTGACCCAGCACCATTTATTAAAATGATCATTCCCCTAACTAGTCCTTTAATAGCACTTGGAACCCACAGCTTTCTTTATATTTTTACACTGAGGTGACAGTAGCAGTTTAGACTTTTCATGTCCATTCTCCTAACTTCGGTCCATTATACGCAAACTGCTAAAGTAATGTTCTGTTAATGTTATTTTTTAGTTCTTTATTCAACATATGGACATGATTCTGCATTGCATGTCATAGAAAATTCTCCAAACTGTGTTTCAAAGTTATATTTCCTCATCTTCTCTTTCTCTGGAATTTTACCAGTCCCAGTTTCTGCTGCCAGTATAATTTTTTGACACCCCTAAAATCAAATTATTTTTTTTTATTCCTTTGCACAAACCCTTCAAGGTAGTTTCTCATCACTATAACGTTTTTCTTTAAAATCTAGTCATAAAACCTTTCTCACAACATTTTTTAGATTCGGCCCCGGCTGGTTTTGTTTTAGCAATACTTGTATCTGCTATTACACCATGAATGTACTTTTCATTCATTTTGTGAATGCTGATTTGTTTCTGTTACAGAGTAAGTTATTTGAGGGTAGGAAATGTATTTTCTCCTTTAAAAAATTATTTCCCCAGGTTTCTCATGTGCCACTTTCTTATAGTTGATTAATGAAGTTTTATGATTGCACTTATTTTCATTTTGTTCATTGTGTTTGATTAAAAAAAATAAGAATTGCAGTCTCTTCATGTACATCAAAAAATAATTATAAGAGGGTTTTTTTTCTCCTGTGTTTTGTATGTCTGATATTCACTTGTTGCTTTGTTATATTCCTGGTGAAACTGACTTTTCTCTTTTCCTCTCTTTGTGTGTGTGACTGCAGCACTGATGCAGGTGATAGCCCTGTTGGCACCACCACTGCCACCAATCTGGAACAGCCTCAGGTTATCCCCTCTCAAGGTGACCTTCTGGGAGACCTTTTAAACCTTGACCTTGGTCCTCCTGTCAATGTGCCACAGGTATCCTCGATGCAGATGGGGGCAGTTGATCTCTTGGGAGGAGGACTGGATAGTCTGGTAAGCATCTTCTTTCTTTTGGTTATTTTAAATTCTTGGTATGCTAAACAACTTTAAGTTATTCATCTTTTTAGAGCTAGACCTTTCCTTAATGAGCAGAGCAATGCCCTTTAATAAAGGACAGGATTATGACTTTAGAGAGCTAATCTGTACTATATGGGATATATCTGTGAATGAGTAAGATTATTTTGTTGTTCTGCCTCTAAATAGAACTTTTAATGTTTAACTATCCTTTTAACGTTAACTATCCTACTGTTCAGTATTGTTATATTTAGTTTCCTTTCTAGACCATGTTACTGCTCCTACTTCTTAACTCTAGATAGCCCTGTAAATTTTCCTTTTTACCTGGACAGCATTTTAAGTTATGTCATAAAAATCACTTGAGGCTTTCAAACCTTTGCCTTTTTTATATTTTGTTGGCTTATGCCTTAATTCCAAAAGTTTCGAGGTAGTGTTTGTCTAAAACTAAATCTCAGTTGGGAAGTACTGCTTGATTGGTTCTTTTTTTTGCTTCTTCTGCCGCCACCTCCACCCTGTCATACTTCCAATTTAATTAGCTTCCAGGATTCTAATACTAAAAGGCTCCAAAGTCCATAGTCTACAAATATGTGCCACCACGGGAACAAAATCTAGTTTTTGTTGCTATATAAGATAAATGAGAATTGTTAAGGATGACTTAAATCCATGTAGAGAAGGACAGAAAAATAATCAGATGTCATCCCATGACTCCTTGAAAACTAGATACTTAACTATGGTGGAGGGACTTTATAGCTAGATACTTGCAAATAAGATGTTTGTCAACCTGATGACTATGAGGATGCCCAACAAACTGATTTAGTTCCCTTCATCAGAAATTAATACCAATGCCATAGATAGGGCAATATATGTTCTCAGAGATTATGTGAACAGGATAATATTACTTTCTACTACATATGTCAACATTTTCTCGTCAACTTGTAAGTTGTGTTATATGTGGGATTTATGCTAGCCAGTGTAGGTACATTTGCCTTTCTGCTGTCAGAGAGTCTAAGGAAATAGGGTTATAGTCATCTCTGTGGGTTGCATATTTTACTAATGGAAAGTCATTGCTTTCAAAGTCTATACACTGACCAAGCTCTGGACTCTCGCTTACAGTGACACAAGTGAACACTCCTTATTTTCTCTCTTAGGAATATAGGCATTTGCTTTTCTTACTCATATCTTTAATGAATGCAATTATTGATCATATAAAAAGGGTGGCTTCCTCATATGATTATTCTATATTACTATATAGCCTCTTTATAGACTCAGGAGACTAACAGATGAATATTTAAATATTTATGGAAATTCCCAGAAATCCCCTTAGAAACATTACAATAGCTCTTCCTGCTGTTAATATATCAACCATAAGTTAAACATTATATCCTCCTAAAGTTAATGCCTGAACAACCTTATTACCTGCTCTGTTGGTTTATGACATGGTGGACTCAATGAACCTAAGAATGACAAAGAAATTAAGTTTAGAGGATTGACGGGAGAAAGAGGTTCTATGATTTGATGTAGCCTGGGCCAGGATGCTATGTTTTTGTTTCTTCACTCACTTTAACATGGAAGAAAAAAAGATACATTATTTCCATTTGGTTTTGTTGTTCCCTACCACCAATGAGTTTTTTCCTTATTTTATTTGACTATCTCTCATCTGTTAGAATTTCTGCAAGTATTTCTTCAGACAGAAAAGCTGTTAGAACCTTTCCAGTTTGTAGTAGTTCTTTCCTTTCTTTGTAAAGGAAGTTCTTTTGGGGGTGGCAGGAAGTTCTTTTGGGGGTTGCTTTTCAGTTGGATTTCTAAATAATACACAACTTTTGTTATGTAGGCCCAGTAATGTTTCTTTGTAACTCTAAATTTTAGGTTTTTTCTGAGTTTGAGATTAAAAATGGTATGCTTGGGGGCCTCCCCTGGTGGCGCAACGGTTGAGCGCTGGCCTCCAAAGCTGCCGCAGCCTCTGCAACACTGGTTCAATCCCCAGCCACTGGGTGAGGGTACCACATGGCGCGCAGATCTCTCCTGCCGCCCGCTGCTCTCCTCAGCAGTGTACTTCGGTCCTTCTGCCTGTTCTGCTTCCCGCTCTGGCTCTGGTGAATCCTCTCACCCTCCCGTGCTTCTGACTGCACCCAGTGCTTGTATAAATAAATAAATCTTTAAAAAATATATATAATGGTATGCTTGGTGTTGTAGGCCCAGAAAGTGTTTCATATGCAGTTTTCTTCAATTTACTCTGGGATATAGACATATCCCAGAAGTTAAAATGAGGAGTAAAAACCCATCTATTGGATTTGAATCTGTATATGAGTGACTAAATATATATTAACTCAGAGAACCAAAATTCCTTTTAGGAGAATATCAGAGGAAGACCTGGCTGTGTGGAAGATGAGTTTCTAAGGCAGCAGTAAACTGTGCCACTTTTTAAAATGCTTTTTTTGTTTGTTTGTTTTTATGTATATTATCTCAAGAGGAAAACAATCCTCAGTTCTTTTTTACTCTGTATATATAGTTCATTTGTTAAATGAATGCATCCTTTGAAGCAGTGCTTCTCAAACTATATTATACATTAAATGTCCTAGAGATCTTGTATAAGACAGATTCTGATTTCATTGTTCGGGGGTGAGACCTAGAAATTTGCATTTTTAACAAGCTCCCAGACCTTTGTCCACATTTTATGTAGTAAGACATAAAATATCTGATCATTGTGAAGCAGCACCAGTTTGATGTTTGGACTATAGTTATTGGTAAAACCAGATATCTTTTTCTCTTGACTTTTGTAGTAAACATACTGCTGGAAAGAAGGATCCTTCTCTGCTCCAAAGTAATTGATAGAAGGCAAGAAACTCTTAAAATTATTTTGTTGAAGGTTCTTTTGTCCTCTAGGAAGAATAGTGTTGCTGGGGTTTGTAGAATTTGATCCAGATCCCAATTTATGGCCAGGGCCTCCCTGGTGGCACAGGGGTTAAGTCTCAGTGCTAGCATGCTATCACTGCTAGCATGCTATCACCGCAAGGGAGCTAACCCACATGGTGCAGCAGACCTCTTCTGTTACTCACTGCTCCCCTTAGCAGTTTATTTTGGTAGATCCACCTATTCTGCTCCCCACTCTGTCTTTGGTGTATCCTCTCACCCCCCCGCACCTCTGGCCTCTACCCCAGTTCTTCTAAGCATAAATAAATAAATCTTTTTAAAAAGTTATTTAAAAATAAATAAAACATAATTTGGCCAGGGTTGAGTTACCCCAGAGTTCATTTCAGAAAGGCTATCAACAAACAAGGCTCCTAGATTGTTGCTGCTTTTATCTTTGGTGTCTAGCAGAGCTTTACCCATAGAGGTCAGTGGTGTGCCGTTATAATGAAGCATGACAGCTACTAACCTAGACGTTGGTATTTTTAAAACAATCACCAGTTATTCTTACTTTGCAGCCAAGGTTAAAAGCATTGAGCTAAGTGAAATTCAAAATAGAGTTAGATAGACATGTTAAAAAATGACCTCAAAGCCAAGACAGTAATTTCCACAGAAGAACTATATTCTGGTGAACTTCTTTGGCACCTTCTACAAAGACAGTTTCTCTGACTTTACCTTTGTTCATTCCCCCCAGAGTATTTTCCTATTGTGATTTGCTATTAGGTGATCCCACCTCTCAGAAGTTGCCTCCAGGAGTTGAATTTGACCAATTTAGATTTAGTTGCTCAATCCCAGGGTTTTTTGGGTTTTTTTTTTTGTTGTTGTTGTTGTTTTACTTTTAGTTGAAGTAATATTGATTTACATTATTCTTGGTATTTTGGAAGGGCAGGATCCCCCTCTTTCAGGTGTCTTCACTATAGTGTACCTTCGCCAGTGTCTTTTTTTTACCCTTGTCCACTTTCCCATAATTGAAGACTGAAAATTATTTTGTATTTTAGGTTGTCTATTAATTTTCTATTCTTCCTTCAAACTGTGATATCTACTAGAAAATATTCTTGCTCTTCATTTATATATCCTGGTGATCCTCCCATTCGTTCTTGTTTACTCTTTTATTACCATAATGTGAAATTTTAAAATTTAGTGAATTATGTCTTTTTCTAGACTTCCCATTCAGAAAATACTTAACTATTTATTCATGACTATTATTTGCCAGAACGTATGTGAAGGCTCCAGCCTTCTTCCATGCCGTAAGAGTGGCTCATGCCAGCTGTGCTTAAGCCAAAGGAGAATGAGGTGGAGATACTGCTGTGATGTAAAGAAAATACACATGCACACTTACTTACTCAGCCTCCCAGGTGATTTCTTGTATGCTTTTTTTTTTTTTTTTTAAATTTAAAAAAAAACACCTTTGGAATCATTGATTTAGGTAGAACTTCAGAGTTCAAAATTGGCATACTTTAAGCTCAAAATGGATTTCCTGCATACTCTTTTTTTTTTTTTTTTTAAGCATACTCTTCTCAGTCTCCCTACTGGAAAATCCCATCCTTTTTGTTTGCCCTTTAGCATATTCTCTTTTGCTGTAGTTTACTCCTTCCCTTGTTGCAAACTTAACTGTCACCTCGATATGGAATGAATTCAGGTAATGGAACTTACATGGTTGATCTATGTATAGAACATAATATTATATACTATTTACATGTGGATTTGGTTTTTATCTTTTTTTCCTTTGTTTTAGAGACCATATATGTATCATTTGATGCTTCTGGTACTGAATCTAAGAAACTGCTCATTTGGGGTGGTCTGACTTTTCTCACAGTGCAGATCCTTCTGGTTGGTATAGTGTGAAAGATGACCTGATGCCCATGTTCATAACTTATGCAACACATGTTCTAAAGATACACTGTATGCTAATGGATCTGACATCTGTGAGGATCACTAAAGTAATGATTGTATCTTGATTATCTGTTGTTTTTTACTTTGGGGCTGTCAACAGAGGCCCAAGCCAAATTATGGCCTTTTGTCCTCTACAGTGCTGTGCCTTATTTTGTTTAGATAAATGATTCTATTGTGCA